TAAAATCCCCATAAAATAAAATGACCATTACGACAAAAAGAGTTTAAGAGGTATGAATACTTTTGTTAAGCACCTGGGAACATATTTCTTCCCAGCAATACAGCTGAAGTTGGAGGATTTTTTACATGTTGCCATTCTCTCAAGGTTTTTTTTAATCATGATCCTCCATGATACATTATACAAAAATCTGACATATATTTACTTTCTTATAATTTAATCAAAATCTGTCCCATTGAAAGACAATCAAACATCTGTTGGATTCTAGCAATGCAAAATATAATGTTTTCTTTTTTTTGTTGTACATCCCTTAAAGTGTGCCCAGACATTTCTTCTTTTCATTTTTGAAGCATGAAAATGATTTCCCAGGTGCTAGCAAGCGAGAGAGCAAAAATGACAGTGAAAGCTGCTGTCAAAATACCTTTTGTTAAATCTCTGATTCTTTCTTCTGCTGGAAGGTCGGACACAGGTGACAAAAAAGCACTTCGACATCATCAAAAGTCTCCGTCAGTGTCAGTAAAACCCTACAGATCAGAGAATTAGCCGCCATGTAGTTTTGTCTGTTCAAAAAGTGGAATATTGACAGAGGTGGGTAGGAAGTGGAAGTGGCATTTATTTGAGCAAATATTTAAAAAAAAAAAAAACCCAGAAAAAATACTTTTTGGAGTAGCTTTACACTTTTTACTTGTACTTGAGTAAAAATATGATAATATCACTACCCTCACTTGAGTAAAACTTCTGGTACGCTGTCCATTTTGAGTATCTTTCATCCATCCATTTATCTAACTTCTCCCGGTTATTCCGCTTATTTTTGAGTAACCTCACTTAGTGAAAACAAGAAAACATTTTTTAATCACATATGCATCATTAGGAGACACACTTTCTTCATTTTTGTGATAAAAACGTATTGGTTAAATGTTATTTTCCATCTGCTTAGTTTGACGTGTCATCTGGAGGTTGAATAAAACTACAGTAAACATATACTGTAATTTAACCTATTCTTAATACTGTTACTACAGATTTTTAAAGTTTCATAACTGACATATTAAATCAGTGTCTCTGATCATGGGAGGTCAGTAGATCAGATACTCAGTACTTGAGTAGCCTTTTTACCAAATACTTGTCTACTTTTACTTGAGTGCCATTTTTGGGTACTCTATTCACCTCTGGATAATGATTACAATAAATGGTGGCCGAGGATGATAAATCAATGCTGAGAGACAACTGCAAAAAATCAAGTGTTACAAAACACAGCAGAATATCATCTCACAGGAGCAACAGGAGATGATTTTTATTTCTATAACACTACATGGCATAGAGTGCGAACAAAAAAAATCCCAACCAAGCATAAATGTTGGTATGGTAGAGATTATGTCTAGAGAAAAGGTCTGTATTATAATATATGGGTTGTCCAAATTAAGACTAGTTTTCTCAGTACGTTTCAGTATTTTAATAGCCTGATAAACAAGACTAAATGTGAGATTAAACATGTAATTTGCACTCACAGTCAAAAATTATTATGGTCGCTGGCGGGTTATTAGCTATTTTACTAGGATAGTATCTTTAGGTAAATAAATATGTGAAATTCCTAGAAACACTTGCTAATAATAAAAATAAAACTCAATGAAAAAGTTCAATTCAAAAGTCACAGAAAAGCTGAAACATTTTATCAATGAAGGAACTCAAAGAGCATTTACGCAGCAAATAATGCTTTCAGACAGCTTCCACCTTTTTGTAGATATTAAAACAGATTATTTCCAAGTTTATATAAAACAGTATAAAATACATGTGTAGAGACTATTTTTATAGAGACTGAGCGTTTTAAATGTTCAGATAAGTCATCAAAAGATTTTGATGAGACCCATATCTGGTGATTTGATTCATTCTACATCACAGATTGAGCAATTAAGTGAAGCAAATGCTGCAGCACAAAGACACATGGAAATTTTTTTATATATGACGACAAAAGTTGGCATAATGCAGATAATGAGTGAATTATTTATAAAAATAATCTAAGTAATCCGTACATATATATGTTGTTTTTTGGGAGAGCAGATTTAATGCATAGTTTATTCCACCTCAGAGGAAATAGTTTGGAGATTAATTAAGCTGTGTTTACATATTTTACCAACAATTACAATGTTTTATCAGTGTATGCACCATTTATTTAAAATGTCTTCCTTTTATTATAGAACACATTCTGCTTAGCATATAAAATTGAATAAAATCTAAATGAACACAAACAAAACATGGTTTATACATTAAAAGCTGACACTGTGAAACAGCTCACTTACACCACCTATTGGACTGTACAGGAATATGCAATTCTTATGTACCAACATCAAAATTATAACAGAAAAGAAAAAATTATAACAGAAGTGCAAAAAACACTAAAGAGATAAAAAAAAATTGCATTTTCCCCTCACATTTGTAAATTTTTCTTATTTTTTTGAATAGGTTTATAGTAAAGCTAAAAGACATAAAATACAGCAGAGTTGATTTTCTAGTTCCCCTTCCTTTCAAGTAAACCACTTTTAAAGTGTACACTGTTTCCTCTTTAACTACCATTAGATGTTACATAGATCTTTCATCTTTTGATGTATATATATATTTTTGTTTTTCAGCTCATTATAGTTGCAATTATTATTTTCATAACCAAATTCAAGATATGATTAAAGTTGTAAAAGAAGGGGAGTCAGCACAAGGTAGCTAAGAATGCTGCAAAGTTGTTTAAGCCCAGTAAGCGATAGGACATGAATACTTACGGACCCATGAACTCAGCAATGAAATTGTGGTACAATGGCCCCCGAAGGTAAATGTCAAATGTTAATTAGAAATATAAATTATTCAGCAAATATTCATATGAAGTTTTCATTATTTATTTTGTGGCTTTTCACAATAGAATTTCAGAGGTAAAAATATTATTCAGTCAGTTCAAGTAAAGTTAGCTTCATGACAGCATGATGATGTTTAGGCCTAAAGAGTCAAGCTAAAGTTACAAAGATGACTTTTGATGAAAAGGTCAAAGAACTGCTTTTCAATGTTTTTAAAAAGACTCAGATAATCTCTTACTGACGGTGGACTTCCCGATTTTAAGAATCTCTCTCTCTTTTCCTGCAATCCTTTTAACTGTTCATGCCATCCGTTATTAAAACACATTTGTTTAGGAAAAGCCTGGTTTATTTTGTCTAAAGATGGTTCAATTTTCAGTTCACGTTAATACGCAGTTAGACTCTGGGGTCCTGGATGGTGCCTGATGATGAAAACAAAAGAGTGCATTTAAATTTCAAAGAGAAAGCTTCTAAAATCGTCCATAAGAATGACCATCGGTTTACCAAGAAGAATGGAAAGCTCACTTTAGATTTATGTTCCATTCTCTAAAGATCTGAAGGTTGTCTGGCTTTGAATATTGTTAAATATTTGCTTAAACTGTCTCTATCACTGTATTCATTTTTCTGTGTTAAATAAACTTTAAATTCCAGTTATTCGTTTTTGTATGTTGTCATGTTAAACATGTGTTTATACTTTGTGAAAAATTACATATAGAATATGTTCACTTCATAAACACATTGACTTGCATATTTTGAGTGTTTCTTACCTTAATTCAAAGGAAATATTTATAAAATGTATATGAGCTTAAATTTAAAGTGTATATTTTTAATGCAAAGACTTAGAACAAACTAGAAAACTTTTTTGGTAAAATTTATTTGGCAAGTGATACATGTTTCAAGGGATTGTCTGAACAATGATGCCACCCATTCCCCAAACAGCCAGTAGGTTACATGAAAGAAAAGAGTTACTTCTCACACGAACTGTACAATATGTGAATATATTGTAGCACGAGGGATACAAATGTTCAACATGGATACCCTTTGTTAGACTAAAACTGACTCCATCAAGTATCAGTAAGAAACAAAAGTCCTACCATCATTACTAGCTAAGTTTTTTTTCCACTAGAGATGCACCAAGAAATCTCATGTTGACCGGAATCCATACAGCTTGACTGAACTAAAAAATCCAATATTATTTTGAGCAGTGAACACACCATACATTAAAGCATTAAAAGGCTGAGCTGTTAACCCCATTCTTTTGGCATCAACTTAATTATTGACCAAAGATTAAAAGGTATTTAAACCTGGTACCACAGAATAGAAAATGTACTTTCTTTGACATACTCCAACGCTCCGTGGTTCAGAGTAGTCTTCTACCAAGGGCCAAAAGAGAATGAGGCGTCGCTACCTAAATTTAAGAACAACAGGAGGCTAGTTACAACAGAGCTGCTCTGTTTAACTGGAACATGTTGGATGAGGAAGTTATTTGCAAATAATAATAATAGTACATAAAAAAAAACTATGTTAAATTCTGTTTTACAACTGCCTGACATTTTTTATACTAGTGATTATTTATTATTTACGACATTTCTAATAATGTTATTGTACCATTTTATATATTAAGTCTTAAAGATCAATCAAACTTGTTAAAGTTCAACTAGGAATGTCGCGATACACCTTTTTAATTTCTGATATTGCAGCTTTGAGAACTGGCCAATACTGATATCAACCCAATATGATATCAGCGCAAATTATACCAGCTTTTATCACTTGTTTTATACTGTAGATTGTTATAAAAGGCTTGACTAAATAATATTACAGAAACAGGGAGCAAAACAACAAAAAAAAAAGTATGAAAACAGCTGATCGACGTAAAATTAAATAATGAGATAAAGAAATTTGAAATAGAAGCAAAATGTTTCTATCAGCATGAAAATATTGGTGATTTTAGATGCCGGCCAATTAGATCCGATATCAGTATATCCAATATTACTCTCAGATCAGGATATCCATAAATTCATTGCTGATTGGTCAAATATTTCCAAAAAATATTCCAGGAATTCACCACAGAATTCTAATTGGTGCATCTCTAGTTCTGAATTTACAATTCCATCATTTTTTACTTTTTTTTTTTTTTTTGAAGATACATTATTTTTTTTAAAAATTGTGTATTTTACACAAATGTATTTTATTCATTAGTTACAATTTCTTTAAAAAGTCTTTCCTGTGTTCTTCAATTTCGTAAAACCTCAACACACTATCAGATGGGACTCCTCTGGAGGAGACAGATTAAATATCATGCTCCGAATACACATTGAAGACACTTCTTACAATCAAAGATCCCTATTAAAAACAGTCATTGAAATCTGTATTTTACATATAAACTGCAAAAAACAACCACAGGGACTGAAGCAGATAAAATATTAATCATTGAAGAAGATTTAAAAGGAAAGAGACAGCACTTTGTGCAGCAAAATATGAGTCATCTAAAAAGAAAAAAGAATTGCATGGCAAGTACTAGTGTTTGAGTGGTTCCTCCACTTTCATTTTTTAAGAGACCTTTCTTTGAATAAAAAACAGAGAGAAATGAGGCAGATAAAAGGCAGGAGCAAGAATACAAAAACGTAGGGTCTTCTTTTCAGCCCTGATCTTTTGTGTTGCTGTCTTCTGGATCCTCATCACTCTCTAAATCACTGTGGAGTCTCTTGGCTATAGTAATGTTTCTGTCCTTCTTTATCTGAACTGGTAATGGAGTCACTGGTTACAAAAAGAGACAAAGAAAGAGAGGAGATTCGTCTGATTGAAGTCATTTAATAGTAAATTTCAGGTTGTTGTTGCCAAAATTGGCAAAAGACATGATCTGTGAGACGATCCTTTACGGCAAAATGAAAGCTTGTTTAGATCTCTGCATTTTGCTTCAATTTTAGTAAACACACAGCTCTCACCTGATTGAACGAATTGGTCTTCACCTGCTCTGCCGTTATCGCTGTGAGTGGCACTAACACTTTCCTTTTGTTCTTCGTCGGTGACAATTCTCTGCCTTGCGCTCTCAAAAACTGATTTGATAACGATCGAATCCTCGTAGATCTGTAATGGTCAACACATATAAAAATAATCAGACCTTAGAATGTGATTTCAAGGCATTAGGTTAAGGAACCCATTCACTACTATGGATAAAGAAGCTACAAATAAGAATACTATATTGATAACCTGGTACATTTTGGAGTGCTTTGAGAAACATCTTTGCCTACAGCAGCCTGTCTTCCCACCATCAACAGAATCCTTGTTTGGCAGAAGACTTTAACAGCTTCTACATCAGGTTTAAAAAAACAGCCGTTCACACCTTTCACTAACTCCCACATCTCACTCTGACAAGCTCCCCATGCACCGTAACCCGTCTGTCAGAATCCCTACCTGGATTTAGGAGTTATTAAGTGAGAGATCTGAAATCCACATGTAAGGAGGCTGTTTGAGAATCACATGATCAGGGCGGCTCCAGGATCTAGGATGTCTTTCACTACCAACAGGGACGTAGGATTTAGGAGTCTGCCCTGCAATCGAAGACTTGATGGTTGATGCCCCAGCGTTCAGTGTTGTTGTGTCCTTGGGCAAGACATTTTCCCCGCATTGGCTACTGATGGAGGTCAGAGGACCCGGTAGTGTCAGTGTACAGCAGCCTCACTTCTATCAGTGAGCCCCAGGGAAGCTGTTGCTACAATGTAGATTGCCACCATCAGTGTGTGCATGAATGGGTGAAAGACTAAATGTAGCGTAAAGCGCTTTGGGCAAAGCCCCCGAACTAAAAAAGGTGCTATATAAGTACAGAGCATTTACCATTTACCAACTGGACCTCACTTGGATCTTCAACAAGTCTCTGGAGCTGTTTAAGGTTCTCTCCTACTTCAAACGCTCCAACATAATCCTAGTTTGCAGAAATGCACCATTACAGGGTTGAAGAACTACACATCCCTTTCCCTGAATTCATGAGATCCTCTGAGCAACTGGTGTTGCATTTGAAAGACATCATAGGAACCATGTTCTGTTTGTGGACTTTACCATCAAAAATACATTCTCCACAAGGCCTAGACAGACCCATGTATGAAAAAAATTCCATGGGTATCACTGTCATTGGTCTCTTCTGCGAAAGTGACAAGTCTGTATATAGACAGGATGTGGAGCAAATGGTTCACTGGAGCAGTCAAAATCACTTGGCTCACTTTAATTACTCATGCCTTTCACCTGCTTAACCCTTTCCAGCTCGTAATCATCACTCATCTCATCCACCTGTCGGTTTCTCTTATATTGGGCTCAGTTCCAGCTATCAGGGTCAGATCATTCTTTGATTTCTGTTTCTCCGGTCAGTCAGTTGTTGTTAATCTTAGCTAGTTTCAAGGTTTTTCTCCCTGTTCCAGTGAGGAGTTTATTCTTAAGCCAGTGTCCTCAGGCGAGTCTTTTCCCTTACCAGTTGGTGAGAGTGTTTCAGCATTTCCCTAGGGATTCTGTTTCCTGATTCCGTTCCCTTTCACCCACTGGCCCTGTCTGTCCTTGCCTGATCTGCCCTCCTGAACCTCAGTTGGACTCCAGCTGGATTCTGCCTCTCTGTGCATGCCTGTCTGATCTGGATGCTCGACCCCATGGGACTCTGAACCTGTCCTCCCGCTCTGAAGGAATTCTGGAACCCGGATCTGTCCGTTCCTGAGTGGACCAATCTGTTAAACCAGAGTGTCTGTGATTGAGCGGTGCTCCACCCCCTCCTGCATTCGCCATGAGCCACAGGCCAGTGCTCCTGTTCTGATTCTGTTTGTTTTATGTTAATAAACGTTTTGAACTTTCCTACTAGTTGTCTGACCTTGACTACTGGGTCAATCTGTTTTATGACAAGGACTTTAGGAGAACACCTCAGTGATGTAATCGACACTGTTTCTACTGTGGATAGCTTTAACTTTCTTGGAACTACCCTTTCTTTGATACGGAGGGGGCCCTCCAATGTACTTCCTGTGGCAACAAAGTACAACCTTCCACAGTAGGTGGGATGGCATTGTTGGCTTTGTTCATTCATAAATAACTGTTTGGTTTGGCTCATCCATAATAGAGGACAGGTTCAAACTGCAACCAACAACCAGATCTAAAGAGACAATCCTCCTGACTGACATTAAGTCCATCTAGGACTTATACTTGGCTAGGGTCAGTAGCTTACATCTCTGCATACCACACACCTCCTGGTGTTAGGAATCAAGTTTTGTGTGGGTTGTTTGTGTGTTTTTCTACCTCCATCATCAGATGGTGCCCTGTCCTCGTTGGGCCTCCCTGCACACCTGTGGTTCGTTGGATAATTGCTGGAGGGGTATTTGAGCAGTGGGCTGTCGCTACTTCGACGCCAGAGTGTTTGCCAGTTTTGGGTACTCTAGCCAAGCTGAAATTAGCAGAGTCTAACCTGAGCTTTGTTTCTCTGAGTCTTATCTAGTTTTTGTCTTTGCTCTTCGGCAGGAAGCCTTCCTGAGTAACTGGATATCTGGACCTTCTTCCCCTGGAAGGACTAAATGAGTACACACTGAGCAGGGGAAAACCTCCACATGATCCATGCAAGTCCTCATCGGAAATCCTAGTGACAGTCCGCTCCCTTACTCCTCTGGTTCCAATGCTTGTCTATCTGTCCGCCCTCCAACAAGTTCCCTCTTCTCTGGATTAACCCCCCATAAGCTGGATTCAAGGATTGACAAGAGCCCCCTCAAACGAGAGTCCCTCTCCTTTAATATTCAAGCCTCAGTCAAATTTCCTACGGTCCCTGAACTGATCACTGTGATCCACCCATCAGATTTTACAGTTCTGGTTCGCAATTCCAATGAGTTCCAGATCCAACTTCTGTATTTCATCTTCATTTAATAAACCTGTTAACCTTTTTCCCTTGGTCTCTGAGTGGTTCTCTGCATGTGCGTCAGATCGCTTAAACCAATCATGACACCTTGATACAATCTGTTTAGACTTTAACCCTCACATTGAAGCTACAGAGTGCTATTTAGCTAAAATCAAAGACGTTACAGTGACCGTTTCTTTCCTGAGGCTGTAACCAGTCATTTTCCAGATCAATTCCATTGTTGTTTGTAGCCATCCAATCATGCCTTCAGTTTTTGTAAAAATATGTGTATTTACAGAAAACATAATTTCTATAGTTATTTTTTACTGAAATATTTATACTTAAACTATCTTTGTTAAAAGTAAAGTAAAACCAAAGAAACATTACAGTTAATACTTATTCTGATTATCAGAAGTTACCTGTGATCCCTCCAGGTTATAGGTCTGTGCATTGTGGCACAGAAGGAAGATATCCTTTTCTAAATCACCGACACTTCTGTACTTGTGGTTTCGCACACGTTCCTATGAAGAAGAGTGGGAAAACATTAAAAATTCAGACAAAATGTAATCCTCATTCTAGAATGTAAATGTTTTTGTTTTAGACATTTTTTAAGCAACCCCTGTGTATTAGTCAAGCACAAAGGCATCAGGTTGTAACTATGTTAATACAACAAAAGTCCTTTAATATTTAACAAGGCTACTGGCATAATTCTGGCAGGATATGTAACCTTCTTCTAGTCTAAATTAAACCGTTGTTTTCCGGATAATGATTCAGGTTTTTTGACCAAAGCTCTTTACAGTCTCAACAGATTAGGGACCAATCCAGAGGCTTGACATTAGTATTATTTATCTGTTCTAAAACCAGTTCTAATGTGCATTTAGCATCAGTTTCCTGTCAAAACACCAAGTGATGTCCAAGTTTTAACCAGTCCCACATTATGATGTATGTCAGTTCGAACAGCATTCTTGGATTTAAATTCATCATATTGAGTCCTAAAGGCAACCTGTTCTGGATGCATTAATAACCACCATCTATCCTGCCTGGAGAAAATTAGGTAATAATAGGAACCTGCTTTTTGCTGTTGCCAAAAAAAACCTCATTATTCATCTGGCTTGTTGTGTAGGAAGAGGCAAATTTAACATTGAACCTCTTAATTTTGGAGAAGGGGATTCTTTCTTAGTCACCACCCTCTTAGTCAATTTCAATAATTCTTTCTTCTCAGGGTGACATTTTCTTTTTCTCTGCAAAATGATGAAGTTATTAAGAAAAACGGTTTTAATTGATTGTCCTGGACACTGATTCTATTTAGAAACATCCCAAAAGTTGGTGAAGGTTTGCATACATTTGAGCTTGGATGCAGAATTTTCATCCTGTCTCTCTTCCAGAAACAAAAAATTAAAGTTTATTGCACCCCTATGTGTTAAAAACATTCTATATATCATATATTGCAGGGGCATCAAACACTATGTTAAAGGAAAAGCACGGTCACATTCAGAGTACAAATTTCTGAAAGTATTTGAAGTATGATATTATTAAATACTTTTCATTAAATGATAAGTGTTTTTAATTGAGAGTAATTTCATTTAAATGTGCTTTACCGAAAGTGCTTTAATAATTGTTGTTGATTGAAGGGGTGTCTTCCCATTGATTTCGCTTGTAAAGCGGGGATAATGGCGCCCGGCTTACCGCACCGTGACATCACTGTCGGGAGATGTCAGAAGTGAGGTGTTTGTTCCCGGACTCAGTGATAACGACCAAATATATTGTTTTTACTTTTTTTCATTGATTAAAGCTAAATTCATTAAATCACCATGAGAGTATTAGTTTTAGGTATAAATAATGACCCATTGGTTATTCCTTGCTGACTGGACTTATTAAACTAACTAAATGTAATGCCATAATGACAAAATGTAAACCATTGATTGCCAATGCTGCAGAAAAGCAAAAGTATTGCTAATTTGACTCATTTTAATTAGTTGATATCTCAACTATCTTTAATTTTTAAGCAGCTTTGGTGGCGCAGTGGTTAGTGTGCATGACCCATGTATGGAGGACTTAGTCCTCGACATGGCTGACCCAGGTGCGAATCTGACCCGTGGTCCTTTGCTGCATGTCTCTCACCCTCTCTCATACCCCATTTCCTGTCAGCCAACTGTTAAAAACAAGCCACTAGTGCCGCAAAAACTCAAAAAAAAGAAGAAGCAAAAAAAAACCATCTGTAACTTTAAGTCCAATTACGTATTCTGCCTCGTGATACACAGCACAATCTTTTACAATCGGTTTTGTTATGCAGGTCCAAGAAAACTTTACCTTTTTTAGTAACCAAAAAGTTCATACAGTTTTATAAACAGTGACAGAAATTACAAAGCACAATCCTCTCATTTACACCAAATACCTTTAAAGTTTAAGATATTACAAATAATTTCTGTGCAACTGGTACTTAAATCTAGTTAGTTAAATAATGTATTTAAACATTACATATATATTTTCCTCTATTTTTGCCTTATAAATGTCAATTTCTCAATCAACATTTACCAAAATCATAGAAATAAACATTTTTTATTTAACTAGCTATGTTTTCAGAAAAGATAACAATGAGATCTGTGTGTAAATCCCGAGTTTGTTCCGTGACACATACTCTGATCCTCCTGAAATCCACAGGCTTTCGGATTAGCTCATAATACTCCGGTACTTCTTTCTTAGAGGGAAGCTGCACAAAACCTTTACTGATCTGTCGTCCCAGCCTGTAAGAACAAAGTGAGGTGTCATATAATCTCATTTGATCAAGAAATACTTAAAAGGCAAAATGTAACTGACAATTCTGAACTCCAGTGGACTCTCTAAATGGCTGCTGATGTAAACCTATTCCTCACGTCTACAGAGAAAATTGTGCCTTCAATGTTTTACTATGTTTAATGTGTATAATATAATTGATAATAAAACTACAAATATAAAATGAGTTTATATTTATAAAATTGTTTATAAATAAACATTGTTTTTTAAAAAATTAAAATAAAAGTAGAAAGAACATTTTTAGTTAGGCCAGAACTATCCATTCCACATTATTTCCAGTTGTTTTAATCTGAGTCTCCACAAGCAAACAAAATCATACAGGTAGTTGAACAGCTGACGAAATAAAATGTATTATGTCTTCATCAAATATGTAGAAGTTTAAGGCTTGATTTCAAGCGTGATATTTAGAAGAGTTATAGAAGAGTTTTTATTAATGTAGACCAAAGGCAGTCCTTAGTGAAATTAAAACCTCTTTCTCTAATTTTTTACATTAAATGCACCATATTTTTCACAAGGTGCGTATGCAAACATAGATAGGAAAATTAAACATTTTTACACCACAAACCCTGTAGACCACAAAACAGGGCTTAAATCTAGTATATTTCCAAGATTTAGAACCAGGCTTGGACTGCTAACCTGGCCGGTCCTAATTTCAGAGTGCAAGGGCTGGAACTTCTTAAATCATACTAAGCCCAACACTCACTCTCCGGCCGAAGCACCTACCTGTAACCTGTAAATAACTAAAGGAGCTCAAGAAGTAATACAGTACATTGTTAACTATCTAAATGATATATGCAATATAAATAGCCTTTCCTTGTCATGCACATCCTTGTGACGGTTGGCATATGGTGTCATTTTCTATTTCTTCAAACTGTAAAATCCTTGCAACAAACTAAATTATAATAAAACTAAAATGCTTTCTTTAAACCAAACTATAATATTGCTCTTATATTTGGCGAATTTAAGTTAGAATATTTTGCAAAAATATGTTGTGGTCCTTGATGGGGTTTTGTATCTAAAGGCTAACGTTTCCCGTCTTAAGTGCATCGTTGCCAGGTTGGGATGTTTCCCAATCTGGCAGTTTAGGATGGCCTTCTCTGGGTAAAAAATGTTTTTCTTTAGATTTATGGCCTAATGGATTGATCGAATTTAGATAAAATTGGGCGAGATGTCGTATATCCAGGCAGTTTATAAACATTTTTAGGCTGGAAAACGTGAGTCAGTGACATCTGGCAACCCTGCTGATGTGGTGAGTGAGGATGTTATGCAGAAACAGTCACTGTTGCGTCCGTGTTAATAACCAAATAAGTCCATAAGTGGGCCGATGTAGATGGAAAATGCCAGGTCCGAAAATCGTTCCCAGTACAAGCCTGCTTAGAACTTATCTGAAATTGAGTGTAGTATTAAAATAAATAATGCATTGCACCCCAAAGTTATATTACTGTCCTACAAAGCAGAGGAAAACCTACCAGTTCATACCTCAAAATAATCTAAAAAGAAAATATAAACTATAAAGTCACTTGTGTGAATTTTGTTCTCTTCAATCTGTGAGACGCAATCCTTAAAGTGCAAAATCAATCCCAGGAAGTTTTGGTAATAGTGTCTGTATATTTAAAACATGACATAAACAATTTTAGTGTTGTTAATTATTGTTAGTTTAATCTAAGGGCCCACAGAAAAACAATGGAATCCCAGTTTTGTTGGTAATGGAAGTACTTAGCATCAAATTAAGAACTCAAAAGTCAAGAATTTGTGACTTTTTCACATTTTCTACTTTTACTGGTTTTGCTGATTCGTCCCAGAATGGAGCCTTGGAAATGCTTTACATTTTCAACAGGCAGTGCATTAATTAAATGCAGTTGTATGAAAATGGTGAATAGTATCTACCAGCTGAGGATTCCTTACAGTTATTTTAGTTATATCAGGGATCATTATTTAGAGCATTAATGTCCAAAATAGGTTTTATTCTGTGTATCTGGGATGAAATGTAAGTAAGGAGGACATTCGAACATAGGAAGCAATTAGGAACTAGTGGATAACATGTGAAGATGTAAAGTGGAAAGTGAGAGAACTGACCCATAGCCATAAGAGGACAATTGGAGGAGAAGTAATTAACAACTAGTTAGGGAGATAAAGCACTTCTGAGTTCACGCAAGAAAATTGACAAGTGGTGGGGTGTCCCTGGAACCATTCCTCAAAGAGACATTATGTTAACTTTTATTGAAAAATATCTTCAAAATCACATTATTTTTACTTTTATATCTAAAAGACAGTTTGATGAGCAGACTGGCCCTTTAGTATTTCAGTGCCAATGCATATATAAGGCTTTCACCTATTTTTTATTATTTAGTTCGGGTTGGAAGTTCCTGCGCTGTTCGGCGCAATGTGACATCAGCAGATCCATGTTAAATGTGTCCGACCTAACAAACAACTCTGATTTTGTGGATATTCAGAAGTGAACGGCATCCAGCTCAACTCAAACATCAATGGCAACTCCACCTAAGGTGAAAAAAGTAAAAAAAAACTTAAGTTAGAGTCGTAGCTATGAGATGGAGCAGAAGAGTGCTGTAATTCTGTGTTTTGGCCACAGGTGGCAGCATCATTAGAAACTCCGTAATGCTTCTTTAAGCTGCTGTCACACTTTTTTCTGTCTTGACAAGTAAGCCGTGGTATAGGAAAAAAAAAAAAAAAAGTCTTTAGATTTAAAGATAATTAAATGAGGGCGATTTTGTTGAAGATGTATGTTGCTTTTAATACTCCCTACTTCCAAATAGTGTGTCCGTATTAGTATTAAAGCACTGAATTCACAGGGTTTTGATTTACAACTTTTTCTCCTCAGTCAATGATTTCTTTAAAAGAAAAAATTTTAATCAATTATTTATTTCATTTACCGATAAACTGTTGGCTTGTTATTTGAACTTCAATGCAGTGTTCAAAAGAGGTCAAATAATTATTCAACTTTATCAGAAACTTTCACCTTTAGTTTTAATCATTCAGCATTGTCTGCAAATTGTCTGCAAAATTTGTCTAAAACAGTTATTGTTATGAATCCCTGCTGCAATATTTGAGACATGAGATACGGTATTTAGGTCTACATGAGTTGCTGATGTGAGGTATACATGGTGTGTAACAGCTGTGCAGATTTTTTTTTATTATCCCCAAAAATCAATGGCAGCCTAACATATATTGTAATAAAAGTATGCATAGAAGAGTGTAAATTGCATAGTAAGGCAATGGTGGAGGACTTTTTCTTTTTAGCAGTGTGTTTATGTTCCGAAACTAAAAGCAGTGTTCTGTCATATTGTACAATACCGACAAGTTGGACCGACTCTGAATGACTTCTAAATTGAAAACTCAGTTAGACTTTGTCTGTCAACATCTTAGAAAAGCTCACAGGAGCTTTCAGTTTAAAGAAGTGGAATATTCTGCCATAACTTCAACATCAGTCTTCGTTTGCTAAATTAGATAAACAGAGATGTGCAATTCAATAAGACATTAAAGACAGCTAAAGTGAAGGCTGGCATAACATCAAAAAGGCAAATAACTTGAGGAAATCACACAGGCTCCTGTCTCCATGCATTTAAAAAAAGAAGAAGCAATAAATACACTAACAATGTGTTATTGAATGTCCATTCTTAATTCTTCCTCAATTTTGGATCAGAGTATGCTCAACTTAAAGCTGAGTGTCTGCACTCAGGATCGATAGTAAATATGCTCTGTAAAGGAAACTTAATACTTTGTGTTAAGGCTTGCAGGGTTAGCAGCAGTGGTTAAATTGTTCTGACAGGACACTGATCCACAAACATTAGACTAACCCGTCCTTGTAGTTGATGACCATATCCACCAAGAAGTTGAGTGTTCTGGTGAGTTCGGGTGGATTTGGAGGCAGTTTCTCAGCCGGTGGGCGTCCTCGCTTCCTTTTGACCTTTTCACTACCTTCTTGCCCTATCTGCAGCTCTTTCTCTTCAGGGTGATCACCTTTACGCTTCTTTAGACTGATGTCTTCCTCCATGTCCTTCAGGGAGCCGTTCTTTCCGGCCTCGGGCTGAAGGAAGGGGGAGTAGTAGGTGGGGGAACCTGGTGAACTCAAACAAATGCAAAGGGATCAGGTAAGGTGGATGAGTGTCATAAACATAAACTAGACACTTCACTAGATACCTCAGATAGTAAGCTATAGTTTTCGGTTAAAAAAAGACAAAGCCCTCAAAGGTTCTTTTTAATTGCAAGCGGAAGTAAGTTTCTCTAAAACAGAAACAATGAATGACAAATGGTGACTGGTGACAAAAGGCGATACGAAATGGCTGATTTTATGGGTTTTCACACTTTGGTGTGGAAGCTGTTATTGAGGGGTGATGACCTTGAAGTTGCCTATTTAATAACAGTCTGCTGTTTAAAAGGTAAGTCAGAGGAGACAAAAAAAAGTTAAAGCTTTCAGACAGGAAGCCATGATATAAAAGATGTTGACAGTCAATATAAACACTAAGTCTATTCTAGGAAAATCATTGTTTTTTTACTTTAAAGCTTTTAAATTCATCAGACTACAGTAAATACAAACATAACCCATTTCTAGTTACTAATACTAGCCAAGGTATTGTGCTAATTGCTAACCAAGAGGTCCCTATGACTATTAAGATTGTTGTTTAACAATAATAAGATCCTGTTTAGTGCCGAGTGGTTACGATGAATGAATAAAGAATTTAACTATTAACTATCAGATATTTACTTTAACAGAAATGTTAGTGGTCCATAATCTGTTTTTAAGGGTAAAATAGAAAGTCTATAGTTGAGTCTATTTGTACAGATTATAGCCTAGAAGATTTCACTGAGACAGAGAGAAATTCTATGTACTTTTCAAGGAGAAAGTCCAAATAAATCTATTCATATACTGAAATAAGTAATTAAGAGGAAAAAAAAATTTGACTAAACTTATCTCTCAAGATAAGACTTGTACTAAACCAGAGACCGAATATAGGTCACAAAAATCTCAGATCATTCAGCCTATTTTAAATGGTTAGATATTAAAATAAGACATTATTTATTGATCACATTCATTTCTGAATTTGCAGGAAGCATAGTGAGCTGACTACTGTGCCGCATTTGCAGATTCAGGACACATTATTTCATCTGGAGTATCTGATGCCAGATTATTAATATGCAATATGTATTGTGAATAAATACGAAAAAGATGAGCCAGAGTGCTGCCTAACAAGCCATGATGCAAAAAAATAAAGATCACCCTTATCCTACTGGTTTGTCCTCTGCAGAACGACACAGAAATGTGAATTAGTGTGTGGCTGCATGCTTTTCGCCAATAATATCTGCGGCAACCACTGTTTTCTTTTTTCAACAAAGGCAATTAGATGCCAGAAACAAGAGTATCCGTGCAACAACAGCAGCTCCTGCAGCAGCAGCAGCAGCCTGCTGAAGAGGAGAGGAACATGCAGTCTTATCCAAACAGAATACTGATGCATCAATCAGACTGAATCACACAGGATCAAATAAAGCATGAACATGTGGCACTGTGTTTGTAAAGGACAGAAATGGAATCAAGTTGGGTTGCATGGTTTTTCCACTTATATTAGACAGAGGAAGGAAAGACCTAAATAAATAAATAAAAAATCAACTATCCCTGAGACAGTAGAGCTTGGAGACAAGGCAGTGAAGTGAGTTAGAGGTGACAACAGCACAAGAGCTGCAACAATCTCAAATCCCGCTCATCATCGGTCGGCTCAGACTCAATGCTTTGAAAGCCCCGCTGCTCTCTGTGAGGAGGGGGGGCTGCAGTCGCTCCAGCGGCACACAGGAGGGGATGGAGGGGGGGTAATCCTCAAAGATGCACAGCCCAGCTGAGAGCCGTCTGATTGACTGTGCATGTGGGAGTGTGCATGCGGGGCTCCATGCGTGTGCCATCTCCTAACAAGCCAGCCTCTTCCCTGACTAATCTGGCAAAGATTCCCCTCTCATCTGTTACTCACACCTACACACTCCCTCTCTCCCTGCCCCGACACGCGCACACATATGCGCGCGCGCACACAGGAATATAAACCCAGACACGCGCTCTCCCTCTCAGGCGCGCTCACGCACACACACACACTTTTTTTTTTTAATATCCATCTCTTCCTCTCTTCCCATGCGATGTAGCCTGGCTGGATCCGGAGCCCGAGGAGACAGAGAGACATGAAGGAGGATATTTACCTGAGTGCAGTCTGCAGGCTGGCTGTCAGGATCGGCTGCAGCTGAGGGGGAGAGAATTAGCAAAGCAGCATAGCTGCGTGCTGCTAGTCTCTTCATCAGCTGATCACTCAGAAGCAGAGCCCAGAAGGGGGGAGAATAAAAGCGCTATGTTTTCATACACAAATCAATGGGCTGGGTAAAAAAAAAAAAAAAAAAAAAAAAAAAAAAAAAAAAAAAAAAAAAAGGAAAAAAAATATTTATATAAATGCCTTACCCATCTTCTTTCTGCAGCTCTCTGGAGTATTTTCCTTTCTTGATTCTGACAGGCCCCAAGCTTGTTTTGCCAGATGTTTTTTTTACTTCCTCCCCGCTGTCAAAGTTACCAGATCCTGTTTTGTCTTTTGTAACGTTGCGCCCCATTTTGCAGGTTAAAAGTCACCTCCAGAGATATTAAAGGTGCAGCAGCATTACATTAGCAGCACTCACTGGATCAGGGTTAATGACTAGAATCACCTCTACTAAAAAGGATGAACAAAAGCAAGTGCTACTTAAACTGAAACAATAGTAGGAGAACAGCCCAGTTTGGGCTAATGTTCAAACACATCTGGTTTGTGTGAATATTTTTTTCTTCTTCTGCATGTTATGTAAGATGTTAGAGCTCACAAGAAGGACAGAGCTACAAACAAGAAAAACAAGTTAAATCTGTTTTCATGTTTAGCACATAAGGCCAAGGTTTATGATATTACTCTAATCTCACAGAAAGTACTACTATAAAAATGAAATGAAATCAACTGGTTTCAGAACAAACAGATAGAAAAAAAGGAAATGAAAAAAAAACAAAACCACTTACCATCTGAAGAGTGGAAAAAACAGGGGAGCCAGGAGTTATAGATGATTTGAAAAAAAGGCCCCTCTTCAGATGTTTCTGTTTTCACCTTTTTATCGCATAGTTCAGATTTCTAGCTATATATATACATTTTCGAAATGGCAAATTTCTTTTATAAGGCAAAAGGAAAGATATTTACGCTCATCACCGTTCCATGTTTTCTCCATTAGATTGACCTGTCGCAAAAGATAAATGCCAACGCCTGTGTTTCTGATATTTATAAATAGGATAATGTATCCTTTATTTATTGTCCCTGAAGGAGAAACTTGTCATATTTTGTTGCAAATTTTGTTTGCCAAAATAAAATTTGCATCCATAGATAAAAAGAAAAATTAAGTACACATATTGCACATTTGTACTGTATTAAACGCTGTCTGATCTGTTGCTGTATCTCTGTAGTTTAAAGGTATGATGAGTTTTTTGGAGGACCTCTAAAACTACATAATGTTGCTAGATAGGTTCCATGTAAGTAATTCGTTTATTCTACGAGTCTGAAAGCAATATGGCCTACCTCTAATATTTTGGCAGCTTGTCTATTAATTGGCCCCTCCCAGTTTTTGATTCAGCTCTGACCAACTTCACTGTACCTGCTAAATGAAACAAAACACACAGCATTATGTGTGCCACCTAAGGAATGGCGTGTCTTTGTGACAAACTTAAAAACCAAATTTTCTTTGGTCCACTCCTAAACCAAGGCCGGAGTTTGTTATAAAATGTTAACATGCTTCCTTGATTAATGCTCTTCCTTCCCGGTTTGTCAGCTTAAGTGAACAGAGATCTCTTTCCTTTTTCAGATTAAGGGTTAAACAGCGCTCTATGAGCTGTTCATAGCTTGCTAAAACGTCTTAATATCTTTCTCACTGATCTGTATGCTTTTTCACTTACTCTCCACGATACTGTTTGTTAACTAATGCTCACATATAAACTTTGAAATCTTCACTGCACTTACAACCAGTTGTATTTAGACACCAGTACTGTTCTTAATGTTTCTTAATTAATACATTTTATTTAAGAAAATCTGATCAACAGACATAGAATATGTACACACACCAATGGGATTGGTATATCACGCTTTTAAAGGGGAGTGGTGGCCTAATGGTTAGACCATTGAGCTTAAGTTCTGAGTTCAAGTCCCGCACCCTCCCACAGACTGCCACTCTGGGTCCCTGAGCAAGACCCTTAATGGTAAATGGTAAATGGCATGTACTTATATAGCACCTTTATTCAAGTTAGGAGACTTGACCAAAGCGCTTTACACTACAGTCATTCACCCATTCACGCACACACTGATGGTGGCAAGCTACATTGTAGCCACAGCGGGCTGCCGTGCACTGGCGCCACCGGCATCTGATGCTGACCAGCATCAGTAGACAATGCAGGTGAAGTGTTTTTGCCCAAGGACACAACGACACTGAAAGTCGGAGTCGGGGCTTGAACCGTCAATCCTTCGATTTCAGGGCAAACTCCTACATCCAAAGCCACTGTCGCCCCACTTAACCCTTAACCCCAGAATGCTCCCCGGGTGCCAACAGTGGCAGCCCACTGCTCCCCATGATGGGCTGGTTAAATGCAGGGAGTGAATTTCTTCATTGTGGGACAGTAAAGGATTTACATTTTTTTTTAAACTTTTTTTTGTGGCTTTTATTTGTAAATAAATCCATTTACAGTTTTACTCAGTTCAGTTCAGTTTATTTATATTGCGCCAATTCACAACATGTAATCTCATGGCAGTTTACAGTTTACCGGATCATACAGTCAAATTTATTCAAAGACTGCTATCTAATTAAAACCAGTTGATTGCATCGACTCATTGACTTGAAGGCAATCCCTCACACTAAGCTTGCTTGTAGCGACAGTGGAGAGGAAAATATCCCTTTGAACAGGAAGAAAGCTCCAGCAGAACCAGTCTCAGTGTGAGGCCGACTGGGGTTCAAGGAGACAGAGGCAAACATACAGAAAGGAGCAGAGAAACAAAAGGCAACTGTCAACCAGCTCCACAGGCCTGCCTCCCATTCTACTTTTATAAATTCTAGAAACCACTAGTAACTCTAGAGTATCTTGTATTACTAAATCACACCAACCACCATAAATTACTTTGTGATTACAATCATTGCTACCATCTTTAATATTCTTAGGTCCAGGAATAATCACAATTAAGTTTACTAAGCTGATTAGTAACTTCACCATTTAATATTTAAATAGATATACAATCTTAATCTTTTCTTTTGAGGGCGACAGCGGCATCAGATGCAGGAGTTTGCCCTGAAATAAAAAAGTTGACGATTCAAGCCCCCGCTCCGGCTTTTAGTGTCCTTGTGTCCTTTGGGTAAGGCACTTCACCCGCATTGCATCCTGATGGTGGCATCAGTGTACAACAGCCTCGCTTCTGTCAGTGAGCCCCAGGGCAACTGTGGCTACCATGTAGCTTGCCACCATTAGTGTGTGTGTGTGAATGGGTGGATGGCTGAATAGAACACTGAATTTCCCTTTGTATATTTGAAAGAATAATTGAATTGAATTTAAAGCGCTTCGGTCAAGTCTCCTGGCTTGAAAAAGCGCTTTATAAGTACAGTCCATTTACCATTTTATTATTCATACTTTGACAAATAGTATATTACATTTAACTATATTTGTCTTTTGTTTTACTGCTTACTTTTGTTGTGGGAAATTTTATTTTGTGCTCTCTCACTCCTTGATTATTGAAAAATTCCACAACACTTTGCTGTCACTACTACTGTTAATGGTGAACTGAAGTTAATGTTTAACACTGAGTTTGTGATAAGACTCTTCTGATAGAATCAGTTGTCATGTCGTTTTCTTTTGTTCTACAAATTACTAAATACACTACTCAACCAATTTTAAACCCACATAAACACAAAACCATTCAGGTCAGGGATAATGATAATCTTCCCCAGACTTTGTGTCTGATCAGATCAACCACACCCTGCAGAGAATAGATTATTTAGGGCCCACAAAGGATTTAAAGACTCAACACATAATGTTATCAATGATAGATTTATGGTATGGTGGACATGACTGTTCTGCATCAGGGGGAAGGCCCCAAAAAACAGCCCCCATTTTGACACTTTTATCAACCTTTAAATCTGTCTGTATTTCACCTGAATTCAATTATGTTTTTAGCAAGACTTTGTGCCATGATGAGGAGGTGATGCATTGGATATGGAAACATCTGAAACATGTAGATTCCTAATGACTGGAGTATGAGACCCACACTTTCAGGCAGCTTGAATTGAACTGCAGCAGCTCAAGCTGTCTGCAAAAGTCGCCCGGATGCTTTATAAAAAGAAAAAAAACATGTCAAAAAACAAGCCAAATCTCAAATGAAACAAATTTGTAGTGGAAAATATAACATAGAACATCATCCTCAACAGTTTTTATATCTTTTGCCCTGTTAGTATTATTTCACTTATTAATACTGTAGACATAAAATGGTATATTTATGTTTTATTTTTAATGAAAATATATTTTTGCATGATTAGTTTAATTAACATTATATTACATGTTAAACATATTGTTCAGAAACATAAAAGAGTTAAGAAATTAATGGCATGTTAGTAATCAAATGCTGTATCTCATTTTATTTTTAATACAACCCTAAGCTGCATGTTCAGAATTTACACAGAATGCAGTGAAGAGCATTTAATATGCCTTACTGGCACCAGATATGTCACACTTTATTAAGCAAATCTTTTTCCCTAAGATGAAGAGTTGAACCACCTGGAGGACTGATAAACAATGTGGTGATCTGAAACACTGGTTCTCTAAGTTGTGATCATGGGGTCCTGGATCCATCCAGTATTAAGGCACACCAGAAAAACTAAACTAAATAATAAATATCAATGTTAAAGTTTGCAAAGATGCTGTGGTTCATTAACTTTGTAGAAATTGGGTCAAGAGTCGACTCTAGTACCAATTTGCGAGTAGGAAGCTGAAAAAATTGGGTACTTCTGTGTTTTGCTATTTTAAATGTTTGGTTTTAACTAAAACAACCAGATATTGCTCACATTTGATACAAATCCAACAAGAAGACTCCAGAGAGGATTCCTATTGTCTTCTATCACAATCAGATCGTTTAAGTTTAACTTTAGCTTAGGTTAAAGCCTAAACCTCCATCTTATTTCATGCAGGGTGAATATTATGCTGCCTTCACCAATTCCTGTCAAGGCTCAGAACAGAGGACTCAGTATTCAAGGCAGACAGACAGATTTCTCAAAAAGCACTTATTTAAAAACGACAGATCTGCAGTGAGCAGCTAGGGCATCTAAGACAGGAACCTCTGCAGGAGGAAAACACAGCTTAGGGACCATGTTAATCTGGCAGAGGATGATTATCAATGTGTGAGTCACTAACCTGGTCTTAAAGTTAAGTCCTTGCCCAGAGGAAGAGTTAGATTCCAGCTGGACGGCTGCCAATATAATGCGACAACAGCTTCCTAGAGAGTTCCAGATGCCGAAGCCTTGAAGACAGCAAAACTGGCAGGAGAAAGAAGGCAAGACTATACAGAGGGTGGTTCGAGGAGGTTAAGGAGTCTGGGCCAGAGGATCAGAGATCTGAAGAGGTACCGACGGGAGATTTAGTTCGATATCAGAAGCAGTTCCAGATTTGGACAACTCGCAGAATCCAGCAGCAGTCCAAAGACAGGTCAGGCAAACAGATCAGAACGGGGGCAGGTACTGTAGGATCAGAGGTCCAAAGGCAGAACCGGTCAGGATCAGGCAATCAGAAAACACTATCACTCACTAGAAGACTCAACAAAGGCTTGAAAAATCTGGCACTGATGACTAGAAGCACGCAGGTTAAATAGCAACTGGAGCAGGTGACACAGAGAAGCGGTAATGAGAAACAGGGTGGAGCTACGCAGGTGAATGGAATGAACAATCAAGCCAGTAATCAGTGCCAAGATCATGACAATTTCAGTGCGTGCAAACACTCACCAGGCTCTGTTTGGTTCTGTGAATGCTCTGAAATGGCCGTGTAACCTGTTTTAGACCTGTTCTGTTAATCAACACGACAGGACAGTCATCGACAGCCAGTATGCCTCTTCCTCGACATGTAGTCACAGTGCCAAAATATATTTTCTATGCTACTTTTTCTTTTGACTTACTGCCAAATAAAAGCAAAGTAAATAAAACAATTCCTTTAGTTCACACTTCTCTGTGGTTTGTAAATAGTGTTCTGTAGCAGCCATATTAACATGTAGTTTGAAATCTGTCCATAAATTGTATGATAAAGTAGCCTTAGCGTCTAAGGATACATTTTTTTCTACAAAACATGTAATGCAGCTCAACGGCCAGTTTGACTGAAGTAAGAGCACACAGGGCAGAAAGAAATGCCATGATCTGATTAGATTTTGGAATTTTTTTTATTAATATTCATGAACATTGCCGGGTGGGAGATGGGGGGGCATAAGGGGGTGTAGAAACAAAAAATTCTGAGATGTTTTTCTTTCTGTTGTGTTTATAACAGCAATTTATTTGTACTTTTATGTTTCTGTAACCCATCAGTGCTGACGTGTTGAGGCAGAAACTTTTTTTTATGGCATGTTTCTTCTGACAGTGAGGAATATTGCCTTTATTTTAGGGGCTCAGCCAGAACCCAGCTTAAATCTGGTAAAGAATCTGTGGAAGATCCTTAGGATCAGGCTGATAATAAGCAGAACTTCTAACCACAAATACTTGGAGCTCATCAGTAAAGATAAATTGTCAAAATACCAGTTTATTGTCACCAATAAAAAAAGGGTTTGAGAATTGTAAAATTACAGCGTAGTATTTGTGTCTTTGAGACTTGAGCAGATACAGGACATACTATTCATAGAAAAATATCACAGAAAGAGAGAGAAATGTATGTGACACATGCAGCCATGATATAAATTGACATATAATATTCCAAAGTCATAAGGGAAGGTTTTTTGATTGCTTGAAAGTTTAATCTATAGATATGCCCCCCTACTCTTCTTTATAAAGAAATGTGTAAAATATATATGTGAGCAAAGATTTCCTGCAGGTTCGTTACAAGCAGAAAGATGGACTGCATGGCTTTTAATCCTTAAATGTAAAGGAATATAAGATATTTTTTAAGCATGCAACATATTGCACATACAGTGAGGAAAATAAGTATTAAAGTAAACAAATCCACAAATCACAATGTATGATTTTTTTAAAAACTATTTATTTGTGTGATACAGCAGAAAATAAGTATTTGAGAACCTGAGAAAATCAATATTAATATTTTGTACAGTAGCTTTTCTTTGCAATTACAAAGGTCAAACGTTTTCTTTAGTTTTTCACCAGCTTTGCAGGAGTATAAACTTGCAAAATAGCAGGGTGTTCAAATACTTATTTTCCTCACTGTATATAGATCCAGTTCACACATCTGCACAAATCTTCATGGATCCCATGTCTACCTCCAAGTATACAAAGATATCAATTTGCATAACTAGGATGAAACTATGGTCCTTTTTTTTCACCTCCATGTCACCTTATCATGACTTCCAATATTTATTTTTTTTAAATAAGCAGAGCAGCTTTCTTTAAACAGTATGTGAAGCTGCTTCAACTAAAAATGAAAGTCTCTTCTCAGACGGGCTGACCTCGGCGAACGAGGGATATCATTTCAGATTAATGCTCAAGTACTACTTGCTCAAAACTGCTGTTGCCATGGTAACTGCAAATTTTGTTATTGGACCTTGTGTATCATTGTATTTTACTGCTGTTGCCGGGAAATGAGTCAGGCGGCAGCTCCCACCATCTCTCAGGGAAAAGGGAAAAGGGAGGGCAGACACTGACATGCTGGCATGATTTCACATTCTCACTTTTTAAGGATGTTTTTACACCCAAGCAGCACCTTTAAAATCACTGGACAGAAGTGACTGGTCATATATGCTTTATTAAGATCATTCCCAGAGGTCACATGCTTAGAGAGTATAACGTTCACAGCATATAACCACTGCTGCATCTAATGGGGGAAACTCATTAAAATACAAAGAACTCAGGAGTACAGCTTGTTCATAAAAAAAAAAAATCATGAATGATGTATGAGTCGCTGAAATGTAAAATTCACTTTTAACCTAGCGCCATGCAACCAGACATAGTGACTAGAATATTTTAATCGGATTTGCAGTTCCAGGTCACAAAGGCATCGATTAAATCAGTAAATCAGAGCTGCTCTCTGAGGAGGCTTTAAAATTTAAAACACAGTGTTATATCAACCTTTCAAAACTGTCTGTTAAAACTCTTAAGTAGGACGGTCAGGAAAGAAAGGCTTAGCAAGAGATTGGGAGGTGGGAGCAAAGTGAACATTGTTTTTGGGATGATAGCTGTTGAAAATGTTGGGAACTTAAAATTTGGATCTTTTGCTGAAGGGTCTCACAGTCTGTGTTTAATATGAACAGTTGGTATTTACCATGCTTTGTCCAAGCATTCATTGCCTTTTTACTCGCAAGCATATTATTTATATTATTTGCAACTATTTGCTATGACAAAATTAAATGTATTTTATCAGGATTGTTTAGTACCAGGAGTGCTGGTGCCTATCGCTGTTAAAAAAAAAAAAATAAATTATGTCCTCTTTAGTTATTAACTCACCTGTTCCCTGTTCCAGCCCTCAAACCTCTTAGGTCCATATCATGTTTGGTTTCTTATTAAACTCTACACAACTTGCTTGCTGCACAATGTACTTACTGCCTTAACCAGTGGCGGCACCAGGGATTTATGAGAGCGGAGAAAGGAAGATCTTGGGTTTTTATAGGCGGTCTAACACACCCCTCGCAGGCCCCAGCTGGGATAAAGCTTGATGGAAGATTTTTGGTACCAACACAGAGCACAAATGAAGTACATTTGTTGCAATAAAAAGTGTGGGATACATTTATATCCTCCTTCACCCCTTTTTTATACTGCAATAACATTCAGTGCAGCTTATTTACTTTGCAATTCTCCGAATTAGTAAATACAGTTGGTGATTTGAAGTCAGTATTTGTCTAAGGTAGTGATTACCAACCGAGGGTAGGTTTACCCCTAGTGGTCTGCGAGTGCAATGCAAGGGATAAATGAAAATATATTTCTTAGGTAATAAAAAAAAATAGGGCTAGGATCTGTTATGCTTTGTGAGGACCCAATTGAAAAATTAAACAAGGTTTTATCAACCAAAATGTAACTTTTTCTTATATGTCTGAGTTCACCAAAATGATGCAGAGGAACAGACTGGATGTGGAGAACAGCCTGGTATCAGCTGCTTTTCACACTGAGCTCAGTCTGACTATAATTTTTGTTGTGATTTGTTGCCGAATTTATCAAATTTAAATGTGATTATAAGGAAGTTACTCAGAGGACGTTCAGTTTTAATAAATACAGGTTGATAATATGATTTTATTTTGTTTTTGTTTTGATTCCTTGCTAACTCCCAGGTAAGATATTTATATGTATATTTTTTTTTTTATTTAAGATGGAAAGAATTAAATGCCTAAGAAGGAAATGCTCAGGTTAAAAGATTTGGTAAAATATAATCAGTTATTGAACGTTCCACTTTTGGACGATCTTCAAAACTTTTTAGAGGGTACTCATGGTAAGACAAAATTCACAAAGGGGCACATAAGTCAAAAAAGGTTGGGAAACACTGGTCTAAGGAGAACCAAAGTGAACAAAGAGCACCATGAAGACCAAAAAAAACAGGAAGCCCATAGATAATATTACAGGGCTAAAAACAGGTAAAGGTTAATCTAAACCAAGGTTTAACAGTAAAGCACAGCTGTAAAATGTACCAGAACAAGGCAACCTACCTCAATGAACACTTTGCATACGAAAATCATTAATCATAGAATATTTGAAGAAGCCTTTGGTAACTCTAGGGGATCTGCGGGGATCCATCGCTCAGCTGGAAGCATTTGACAACAAAGGAACCATCAGGAGGGCTTTCCAAAAATCTAGCATTTATTGAAAAAAGCTGCATAAAGACAGCCATTGTAAAAATACTTGTAAGAAACACCAGTTATAGATTGATGCAGGGGAAAGCAAGTTTATTTATATTGCACATTTCAGTAGCAAGATCATTCAAAGAGCTGTACATAAAAAAAGGAACATTTAGGGAAAAAACACAAAGAATATTGTAGTGGCATAAAGGTAATTTATTAGATAATAAAATAAATAAAATCATATTATCATAAAAACATAAGTAATAAAAAGACTAAAGAAAGTTTGACTACAAACGTAAACTTATCTTTAGATAGCACACTCAAAGACTGCTCTAAAAAGAGGCTTTTTTTCATTTTGAATTAAAGCAAATTGTGGTTTCAGCACTTAAACAGTTTTCTGAGAGTTTATCCCAGATTAGTGGAGCATGAGAACTAGTAGCTACTACTCTATGCTTGGTTCGGGTTCGGGCTATGCAGAGTGAATTTCAGCCAGAAGACCTGAGAGGTCTCTGCGGTTGGTACACTTTTAGTAATTTATAGCTTAAGATAAGTATTTCAAAGTATTTTCTCTGAGATAAGGGGAGCGATTGGAAGGATTTTAGAACACGGCTCGAGTGTTCCACTTTCACAGTTTTAGTGAGGATGCAGGCAGCTGCGTTTTGAATCAGCTGCAGCTGTTTGATCCACTTATTAGGCAGACCTTTGAAGGCTCCATTGCGATTACTATTTCTACCAAATATTAATGCATGAATTTGGCTTTCAGCCTACATAGAGGATATGGAAAATGTGTACGAAATAATTCTGATTAAATACAATGAAGACTACTAAAAATGCTTCTGGATTGAAAACTAACAATATGTATCCCTCAGGGAATGTATGTGGCGGCATCGTGGTGTTGGGATCAGTTTCTTAAACAAGGGGATTGAAGCTGCTCAGAGTCAATAAGAAAACTAAAACCTTTATATACAGCCAGAGTTACAGTGGAATAGTTTTGGTAAAGTCAGTTGTTAGAATGGTCTTTTTAAAGCCTAAATTACACTGAGAAGTTTTGGCAAGATTTAAAAATTTAATTAGACTGAGCTTTAAATATAGTGGGAAACTTTATTTTCTCTTCTTCCCTGGTCTATCAAACAAGGTTCCAAAAAATAAATTTGCAAGGAAGTGTCCTACAAAAATAAAGCAAACACATGATGAGTAACTTGAGAGCCTTTAGTAAGCTGCAGAAATAAATAATAGGTAATTAGAATTAGCAAAAGATAGTTACGATAATCCCTTCTAATGTGGTTTTCAAGCAAAAACGTGCTTGAAAGAAAATACAGAGCAAAGTAAACAATTGTTTTCAAATAATTTTTCATAAAATAATAAAAAAAAAAAAAATAGATGCTGAACAAAAATAAAAGCTTTTAATCATTCGAATCTGGTATAATGTATAAAATAACATACAACACTATAAGAAAATATGCTAAATTTAGTTTAGGGTAGCAAACAAACACATTTAACCTGCAAAGATTACATATAAATACTTTGTCATATATCATCCATTGAAAAGGCTCATATATTAAAGTTATTATTTACAAAATTACAAATATGAAGCAATATAGATTAAGTCTGTATCTACTGTCATGAAACTACTTCTCAACTCCTCTGCCATGCTGGTGTGAAATGTAGCTGTGTACACACAACTGCAGAAAAAAGAAAGTCAATAGATGAAAGGTCAGACTGAGAACCTTCATTCGCTGTTTGCTGGGGCTTTAAATGAGATCTATGAAGAGTCTATTTAGGTTTCAAAGAGGCGACTACCTCCTGAGGAAGAGGGAAATCTGCCACTGAGTCGAGCTGCTCCCTGTAAACACAATCAAACACAAGCAAAGATATATCAGGAAGAACATAGGCACATATTTATATGTGTACAGGTGGTAAAATCGAAGCTTACCCCTGTGGAGAAGTTGGCATGGGCATAAAGAAGGACAGCGATGTCGTTGTGACCAGCCTCTAACGCAATGGACAGGGCTGAGCTGTTGTCCTGTTTGCACATTAAACAGCTTCAGTTACAATGGTTTAAACAACAGATATTTAAAAAGTGCCAACACTTTGGCCAGTAGACATATTGCATGGGCACTTTGTCACGTTTAATACTTTCTAACAGGATTTTTGACACAAGGCGGGGGGACCTCTTTCTCTCAGCTTGGAGCCAACATGCTGAGAGGAGCTGTTAGAGGAAATGACTCACGCTGTCAGTGAGGGTGGCATCACAGTCGGGCTGTGCCAGCAGCAGTTTGACAATATCGGCATGGCCATGCTCACTGGCACACATCAGCGCTGTGGAGCCCTCATCGTCCTGGATATTGACTTCTGCCCCCTGTGCCAGGAGAGCCTGGACCATATCCATCCTGCCATGGCTCACAGCTAGCATCAGAGCAGTCTGACCAGCCTGCAGGGAGAGGGGTCAAACTCAGAAAAAGCTTTTTGCATCACAGTTATATTTAGGGGTTTATGGAAGGAAGTTTGAACTTCTGTTTTTATTTATAAATACTAGCTTAGTGGAAATAAAGAGATTGTTAAGAGTTGCATCAATTTAAATTAATGAGGTGATGCAAAATTCACTAGACATGTTTAAGCAGCAAAAAGATTGAAAAAGAAATGACCTGTTTTTTTTATTTTCTATTTCTAAATGTTGTGTTTGTTAATAGAAATGATCAGAAACTTATTTGACATGCTATATTTTAACTGACTCCTTCCAAAGAGGTGAATGTGGTAGAAGCCGGAGCTGACCTGGATGGCCTTGGCGTTGACATCTCCTTTAGAGAAGAGCTGCTCCACCACCCTCATATCCTTGGGATTTTCCACTGCTGCGAGCGCAGCCAGCATAATGGGAGTGTAACCTGCCATGTTCTGCTGATTAATGTTGCACACCTCTGTGGCAAGGATATTTAAAAGATAAAAAAACAGGAAAACACCAAAAAAAAAATGCAACAATTAGATGACTGCATCATGTCTCAAACCTACATAAAAGTAAGCAATCTATATTTTAGAACCGCTAATTAAATTATAACTGTTTGCAACTTGAACCAATAGAACCTTGCTTTTACTGCATGCTCTCACAAAAGCAAAACTTTACTTACACAACAACAAAGATCTAAATAATGCAGCCTTCTGAGATAGATGAGCTGATTATATGAAGTATTATAGGACAATAATGGACAGTTGGTATTTCACTACTATTCATGTTAAGAAGCCCAGTTAATATGCATGCTCAGGAACATCAATAACAGTTTAATGTGACATTGAGAACTATTAGTTCATAATATATTTATCTCCCAAACTCTCTTGCCTCAAATCACTTTTGCTCCACTAGCTTTTCAGACTTGTAGCAGTGATTTTATGAGTTTGTCTGCTGCTTCCACTTGTATCAAAGAAACCCTGAATTACCTGGCCTTTAATTGTATGACCTTTGACCTCTTCAGTCAATCAGTAAAAAACTCAATCATGCATAATGTGTGACACAGTAAATCCCTCTACCGAAGAGTTAAGAAATCTGTGGTTGTGCAATCGGACATAGCATTTTGTGCCTGCAGTGTGAATTCTAATCAATAAATTGAAAGATTTTATAATATTTTATAAATATTGGTCAGACAGCTCTAGTTTATTCATTATGAAGTTCATGGCTAACACAAATTTATGCACAAATGTGAAGCGGACGAAGCATGGAATTCTGAAGTAGGACATAAATTAACCACATTTCAACTCAATTAAACCTGCAAGTCTTGTGGGATATGTCTCCTTCAAATACTTACAGACTCAATTTTCTGTGTAGTCATCTTTGCAGAAAAGCTTGAAGCTCAGTCAGAGTAATTGAAGAAAATCATTATTTATGTTTTATCACATATTGTCATTCAGATTAAGGTCTCGACCTTGAGGCATTAAAACAAACTAAAATGTTTTTATCTAAATAATAATGCAGCTATTACAGCTACATATTTTTCCTTGTCTTGTTTATAGGTGAAGCAACACCACAGTCTAAAATATTTGTGGCATTAACAGCTTTGTGTTCAGCACTACATTGTGCTTAATTCTGCTGAGCTATCCTAAAACCATAGAATACATTTTAAAGCCATTATGTACCTGCATCAAGCAGTTTCTTGACAACACCAAAGTTGGAGTGGGAAACACTGTAGTGTAGGGCTGTATTTCCATTACCATCAGCCATGTTGACAATGTGTTGCAACACTGAGGGGGAAATCATCTGGAAAGCAGATAAGTACTCCCCTACTGTGTCAGGAGCAGCTAACTTGTGGCTGGACACAGAGAACCACTCTTGCTGAAGTGTGCATAGACAATCATGCTGCAAAAAGAGGATAAAAGACTTGATGGATGTAGAAAGGTGCAGTTAAAGATACATTTGAGAAAATTGAAGACATTCAGATGGCTAACAGCTGCCAATAAACATACCAGTTCCCTGCTGGACAGAGCCGGGTCCTCTCTCAGGTGCATCTTCAAAGCTTGGCACGCAGAAAACATCCTTTCACTTAAATTGAATCTAAAAATTAGACAATGTGTTTTGAACAGACCTTAGAAGAAATCTTCAGACATATAAAAACAAAATCATACAGGCTTTTGTATTTCTACATTACCTGTGCTGTCTAGATAATTTCAAACTCCCTTTGGATCCTTTGTTGGGGCCGTCTTTTTCTTTTTTTGCCTGCCATTCATCTTGGGGAAAAATCTTAAAAGTTTCACGTTCCCTTCCTTCTCTTTCTTCATGCTTGTAATTGGATGTTGGTTCCAATCTATCAATTAAGATATCTATCACGATACACGTATACAGAAATTTTTTTTTGCCCTCTGTCATCAAGGAGCTGAACAATTTGTAAATGTCAGTTGGTCTGTTCTGCTTCCTTTCCCTTGAAAGTCTTTGCAATGAGCTCTTTCATTATTGTATTTTAATACATTTTATTACATTGTTGTGTTTAAGCAAGCCAAAGGCAAATTTCTGCCACCATTGTGTATGGTAGACAATAAAGTTTTTCTATTCTATTCTATTCTATTCTATTCTATTCTATTCTATTCTATTCTATTCTATTCTATAATCCAACTGTAAAACCATGCTGTTTATTCAAGACTTACCCTGCAGTCACCTTCATGAATTTCATGCTTTTCCGGTTGCTACCATGGCACTGGTCAGAACCCTGTTTCTTGATTATAGACCATGGCTTACAGGGGTTAGCTGACCTGTCTGGGAGTAAGAAAACAGGCCTCGTCTCTTAGGATTTCACTGCATAAATAAAGGTCAAATGCCCACAATCAAAAGGAGTTTATCATATTTGAAACCTTATTTCTAAACTCCCCCATTGGAGTCTAGCAAAAAGAAAGAAAAAAGAAAAAAAAGAAACAGCCATAAGCTTTATAAGTTTTATGGAAGATCTGATGAAAAAAGCAACTAGAGTGAAAGATCAACATTAAAGCATTTCAGTTTGGTGTCTCTTGGAGCAGAATATCTAGAAAATGTTATTTGTTAAATATGACTCAGCTCCCTAAAGGTAAAGAGGAGGATGTTCTTTTTCCAGACGGATCATTAAAATAAGTGGTTCTTCTAATTGTCATTCATTCTGGTGATATGTTTCTGCACATGGACACTTTCAGGTGTCTATGTGGGGTGAGCGACGGTTTCAGACAATAATTGAAGCTGGCATTTCTCACCGTGGTTCTTTGAAAATAGCAGAGGATCTTAAGAGAAAAATGTCTATGAAGTGTATGAGAAGAAAAGACAGGCCTCAGAAAAGAGAAACAAGACCAGATTGTTTTTTGGAGATTCTTTCATGCGATGGCGTAGACTGCAGTGAAATCTATTTCACGTCACTGCTAGGAAAATCAGGAGAAATGAGCTTATGCACGCTCTTGCACAAGTTGAATAGGCGTTCCCTCTCGGAAGCAGGTACAGGGTTGTGCACGTGCATTTTTTTTTTAATGAAGAGGGTGGTTCTTGTGAAAAATTCAGGAAAATCCTCCACGATATCTTTAAGCTGCATACACTGACTGACGCCACCTATCCACTGAGCCACCAAATTGTGACTGAACACCTCAATTTATTTAGCAGGTGGGAAAAGATCGTGCTCCAAAGCACATCTTACATATTTACTCTTTCAAGACGGGTGGTTTAAAACAGAGAAACAAACAAACAAAAAAAAAAAACATGGAACTCAGGTCAGGGGTTCATAGTCAAATATTGCATTAATACTGTATTATTTCATCATCAGCATTATGTTTTGTTAAAACCTCTAAATTTATGGAAATCTGTGTTATGCATAAGTATGAAACAGACATATAAAGAATTAAGGAAATTTGATGCATGGGTTTCACTATTTTTAGACAAATAAAATTCCGAAAAGTATTGCATGCAAAGTAAGTAAAAGCAAATAGATTTTTTAGGAGTTTTTTCTTTCAGAGTTTGTGACAACTTTGAACGTCTATCAACTAAAATTTCCTATTCCTTTGTGCATGATATCTTCTGATTTGAAGTGTTAATTTAGTCCTGCTAGAGATCCACATTTTGCAGGTGGTGTTAAGGTCTAAAAAAACATGTTTAAGAACCATAAAGAAAAACTAAACTCTTTAGACCACAACCTTACAGGCATCACAGCAATTATCATTGTTTAATTTAGAGTTGTTAAAACCCCATAATAACAAATCCACTGCACACAAATGTAAACTATTTTAATGTCATATCATTGATTGGAAATTCTCCATTTGAGGAAGCTCATTTGAAATGAGAGAGCACTCTCAGACACCAGTTCCTCCTACAAACCCTTTTAATTTTAGATCCAAAGCCACAAACTGCTATGTGGGACAATATGACTTCCAAAACCAAATATCATTCCAAGCATTGCAAGTGCATCCCACATGCCAAACCAAATGCAACCACATCCGCTGATTTAAACCAGTTTTTTTCTGCACCAAGGAAAAACTTTAAGCTTGACCCTTTCACAGTAAACACCAACATAATTTATAAAGAAGTTAAACCTAGGTCAAACAGTGCAGGATACTCACACAAAACTCCTCTTACCTTGTAGTTTTGAGGTTGCTTGTTGCTCTAAGATCTTTATCATTTTCTTTACCTCTGATTCATGAGTATCTTGTTGGAAGATTTCTGGATGTTCTTTAGAGACACCAAGAGGCTGAGATGGGGAATGCAAGTCTGTGTGTGCAGCAGAGAATATAAGAGGGACATTTTGGATTAGAATCAACATGAAATGACTGATAAAAATGTATTTGATATGACAGAACATTTAGAGTGGTTCGTAGAAGTATACAAATCTCTGTTAAAAATCCAGGTTTTAAAAATTTATTCTAGCCTAAGAAATTAAGTCAGAAGGGTATAAGATTTGAAACCTTTTTCCAATAAAAATGTTTATTTAATTCACATTATTTAAGTAAATGCTAACTAAATACGTTATATAGGGGGTGGGTTGTAAAATGTGAATGAAGGCAATATCCTGGCTATGCATCTTTATAATACTCTTCTTGAACTTGTACTTCAAAGTCAAATTCAGTGATAGGGATAAAACATAGAAGCTGGACCATGTAGTCAACGGAAACAATTTTAAAAAGAAAATGCAAAAAATGCAAGTAAACATGTTATAAAATACCAATGAGATGGATTACAGTAAATCTATTCCACCTAGATAAAGATAAGCTGACCTGGTATGATTTTACTTACATTGAAGTTTGCTGAAGTTACTAAAGATCATAATATAGTTCTACAATCAAACGAGGAATACAAAAGAGTTCCCCAGTGTTTGAGTATACATTATCTACACAATAGTGCTGTGAAGACAGTTCCTAATAGTTAGAAAAACAAAGACTTATATGGGAGGCCTTTGAGTTTTAAAGCTATTAGCTCACTTCTCTAGGAAGGCCCATGTTCTCCTAGACTAAGTCCACCCTGGACACAATGCTTAATTCAGTTATTTTATGTTGATTATGTCTGACTCTAGTGCAAGCTGTTTGCAGCGTCAAATGGACCTGCATGCACAAAAGAACAGTGACCATACAGTGCCATCTACTTTGGTAGAGGAAGCATGAAAGAAAAAACTGTTGTAGTTTATGCTGTCAAGAGGGAGCCATTTTGTTTGCAGATGTTTTGGGGTAGATGCAAAAATAAAAAGAGAGTGAAACTTGCAGTGTAACTTGCAGAGCTTTGACTGCAAACTCAGCATAGCTTCTATTGTCTGGAAAAATTTTACAAATCTGCATTTGTAGCAACAATGGCGAAGAGGGGTAGTAGTGCGGGGTTAAGGAATACTTTTCCTAAGTTCCATAAGTTCAGTTCTCTTTTTCCCACATTGCCACCTGTACTTGTTTGGCAGAGACTGAAGGTGATCTTGCTCTACAATCTTGTGTGTTCTCAATATGTCTAGATAAGAACTGCACTAGGAAGATAGCTGCATTGTCTTTCAAAGAAAACACATCAGCCAATAAAATCTTCCATAAAAACTGGTGAGTGGATTTGCTGTGGAACCAAACTGGAGCTTTAGAGCCACAATTCTGAAAGATGTTTATCAAAGAAATGGCACCATGCAATGCCATAAAGAGCACTGTTGTTAAACATGATGGTAACAAACATAATCAAGTTAGATTACCAGAGGACAATTAAAGCTTTTAAATGGCTTGAGTCCAGAACTACTCCTTGGGTCACCTGAAGATAGTTGGAGGACAGTTGTAAATATAAATGGATATGTTTTGATAATGTTTACAACCTTGAGTTGGAAACAAAAGGCTGAGAGTTGGCTGATAGACTCCAAGCAAAGAAGACTGAATGGTGAAATAAAACAAAGGTTCTACATCTCAAAAAGTGTGAACACTTAGAAGGGTTGTACCAGTAGAAGTATAAAGGAAGCTGTTAAAACTTAGATTCCCTTGAATGGGCACCAGCCTAATTATAGCAAAAAACAGATAAACAAACTTGTAAAACGTCAGAGAGGCAAAAGTTGACACACTATAAACAACAGATTTGAAGATATCTTGTCTTACCTGTTGTTTGAGATGTTAAATGATGTATAGCTGCTCTTCCTTCTGTCATGCTTTTAACATTGCTGATTGGTTTGGACATAGTGTAGTGGTCACTGCAATCCCCTGTGAAAAGGTCTCCATGTTCCTTTAAAAGTCTGTGCATCTTCTTTATGTAATGGTTAAAGTCATGGTCCCACTGAAACTGTGAGGAATGCTGGAACTTTGTTTTAGGTATGCATGATGGAACAGAAAAATCCCGTATTCGACCTTCACCTACTCCTATAGTCCTTGTTTTGATGGGATCAGGAAGATGAGATGGTCCTGAAGCCATGTTGCGTGTTTTCAGTCCCACAAGGAAATTCTCATTAATATTTGTTAATCCAACACCACAGTCTCGGGTTGCCTTGTTAATCCTTTCTGGTGGTCGTTTTGAATAAAACTCTGAAATTGTGGTATTAACGCCAACGGTACGAGTTTCTGTTGTGCAAATGATCCCTCCAACCCCACCGCCAACAGATACACATCTAGTGAATGTGTGAGTGGTATTGGTGTGCTTGTCTTGCTTGCTGAGTAGTGTGTTGGTGCCAGAGTCATTGCTAAAGGTCTGCCTGGTGTTGGTGAAACGAGAAACTGAACTGCACAACGTGTTGGTATGCTGTGAAGCCATTTGAGGTGATGCCGTTATTCCCAGGTCAACTCCTCTTAGTGAATCTGTGTTAATACCTCTGGAAGTATTTTTCTTTGCCTTGAGAATTGGAAAGGCATCAGCATATTTCCCATATTTTACCTTTTCATTCTCAAATGCTAGATTCTCAATTGGAGACTCTGTGTTACTTTCAGCATCAGATAGTTCCACCTCCGTCCCAACTCCGACTGTCCTTGTGAAAACTTGAATCCCAACAGCTTTTTCACTGGTCTCCTTTTTCTCCCTGAGCTCCCAGTGGTTCATGGGCACATCTAGGCCTGTACAAACATCCTTCATATCAGGCCTGCAACATACCCCCACAGCTTTAACTTCTGTTGCATCCCATGTGCTGGCATCTTGAAGCTCTACATGATTTCCAACTCCCTGATTTTTAGTACATGGTCTTGTTGTTGTGCCTACACTAACAGAGTGGGGCTTAGCGAAGCAAGCCTTGTCAACTCGGTTCCTGGCTCCTGCTGCTTGAAGTTCTAGTCTCAGACGGGTTAGTTCTATCTGAAGAGCAGACTCTTTCAACTCAGTTTCTAATTGGGAAATCTTCTCCTTCAAGGCAGAATTGAGTAGTTGAAGAGCATCAAGTTCTGCTTCATCTTTTTTGTGAATTCCAAGACTGACTTCAGTTACTTCTGTTGCAACAGATCTGCTCTCTACCTGCTCTCTGTGCACAGATTTATTTTCTTTTGAGGTTTTAAAGAAAATGTTTTTCATATTGATATCAGTTTGAATGTCAGTAGACTTTTCTTGTAACACTCTACTACTACTACAGCCTTGTTCCTGCCATGAAAGCAGACTGCTACCTTTGACAGTTCTTTCTAATGCTTGCATCTCTTCAGTGAGGTGCCTGAATTCTCTCAGGTCAGTCTGATAACTTTCTTTGGAGTCTTTGAGTTCTGCTTCATTGTGCTGTTTATTTTCAAAGTCAAACCCTTCTTCCCCGTATGATGTTTTCCAAGTCACGTCACTTAGCTGAGAAACCAACTGCCTCTTTTCTTCCTGAAGGACTGAGATTTTGACTTGAAGGACAGGAATGATTTTCACCTGCTCTTCCAACTCCTTTAGCTTTTTTAGAGCTACCACCATCTGGTCACGGACATGCTGAAGGTGCATAGACCCAAGACTTGCAACGGGAGTACTTCTTCCAGAACTTTGTGGACTCAACTTCAGGCACCCTGTGCTGCCTCTACTTCCAAGGGATGGGACAAGGTGGGCATTCAATTCATCAGCAGGCTTGTTTCCATTGTTGTTCTGGTTATATGCACCCAGGCCAGTGAAGGGTGACTTGGAACCAGCGGGGCTTACTCCTCCAAAGCTGGCTAGTCGACGACGAGGAAGTGGTTGAGGTGGAGACTGAATTTTGTGTTCATGGGTCTCCATGACTGACTGCTCTCTCACCGTGGCTGGTCGTTGTGGAGCAGCGTTTCTCTCAGCCGGTTGAGGTTTTGATTCTGTTTTCCTTTGAGAGTTGCCTGGACCTTCACTCTTTGAACGTCTGTCATCCATGAAGGAACTATGTGATGGAGGTAGGGGAGGTCTACCTTTAGTTGTAGATGACATGCCCAACAATCTTGCATCATCGCTGCCTGGTAACAACACAGGCTCAGAATGGCCACTTGAAACACAAATCTGCGTTTTTTCCACATCACTGAGAGCCACTCTGGGCCTCCTCTTTAGGCTTAGTCGCTTAATGGTTATGCCGTTTTGGATACCACCCAAGTCCAATTGATGATTGGATTCAGTCTCTTGATATTTGGGAACACACTCCTCAGTGATTTGACCTGTTGAGTCAAGAATAGAATCTTACTTTTCATTGATATTATTTTCAAAACAATAAATCAACCAATCAATCGATCACAGAAGAAAACACAAGAAAAACAGGTAAATTAAAATGTATCCATTCAAAATTCAGCCTTAAAATTCAGAGTGAAGCTACATATAACTAGTAATAAATGTATAAATATATAAGAATTTTTTTTACTTACCTTAATCTAAAATGATCCACCATGCACTTTTCTATGGAAGTCAAAAGGCTTCTTCTACCTTATACTACTTTTGACCATTATATCTGTTAGCCTATCCCACCAGAGGAGGAGGAACAGAGGAGGACTTTCCACTCACACAAGAGCTGTTTTGAGCAGCCATTCCTTTCCAAAATGGTACGTCTCTCTGCATAGACTAAATCCACTCTATAATTACAGTAAAACTCTCCCTCTAAATGCCCAACCATTCTCTTTCTTGGCAGTTTTTTTTACCGCAGACATTCCCCAATCATTTTAGACAGCAAGTAAACAAAAAGTAGAGCAACTGGGTAAAACTATTCACTTGCAATTCCCTGCATTCATATTTAATGTGCATATTCTGGTGCAAACCATATAATGTCAAGTTACACTTAGTTTGGAATTACAATCTAATATATAACAACAGAACTAATCTAAGACACAGAACGCTTACAAATCATTCAGCATAATGACAAACTAACACTGCAGCATTTGATATAAAATCCATAGTTACCTGACACATTTCTTAGGATGTAACTGTACTGAGCCATCCTGTCCGTTTATATCCAAAATCAAACTCTGCCTGTACTGTACAAGAAAGAAACAATATGAATTCTTTCCTAATATCACAGTTATTAGTCCTCCCTCTTACTGCCTTGCTGCTATGTTCACTTTCTCTCTCCAAAGACGGGTTCGATAACAGCTCACTGTACAATGCTTGGATAGAGGAAATGCTATACCTGTCCAGGCCACATGATAGCCAATTCTGCAAAACTGCTTTGAGGAGTAGCCTAAGACTCCTGGCATAACCTCTATACCATGCCATATCAAATTCTCATCCATAAGCAGCTTCTGTTTTCACCCCTTAACAACTTAAGAAGACTTTGTCTTTAAATTTCATTTCCATTAGTTAGAATTAATAAGAGCTCAAAATATGCTGTAACCTTACTAGAAATAAAAGAGTATGAAGATTGTGTTAAACTCCTGCTAAAAAAGGAATTGGAAAACAAGAAAACAGTGTTATTTATGATAGATTATGTCTTAATGAAAACAATGATTTGAAATTGAAAACTTTTGCAAGAAAATATCAGCGAGTAAAACGAGGATAATCTAAATGGCAAAAGAACACAGCATTAACATATACACTTCTTCCTGGCAGCTAGGTTTCTATTCCCTTCAGTTCTCCTTTTTCTTGCATGCAAGTCCGAGTCTCTGTCTGCCATCTGGTTTTTAAATCTGCCTTGTCAGCTCTCTATTCACAGTCTGGATTCACTCTTTTTCTATCTGGAAATGCCCTATTTTAAAATAATATCAACAGGCTACAGTATATTGCATTATCTAAATACTCGGTTTACTCTGTTAGTTAATAAGATCTTTAAATAAATGTGATCTTGTTTTTAGTGCATGTTCTGCCTCCAGCCAGTGATGTCTGACAAAAATAAAGTTTAAAAGAATAATAAATTTGCTGCCTTGGTATGATAATGTGCTGCCAACCCCTGTAGATTACTCTTCCTTTCTGTGTTGCTGTGTTGGATGGTATTACAATGGGGCAACTTCTGTGTGCTGTGGCTTTAGCTTCAGCTTTTTTTTTTTTTTTTGTCATTACACTGTCACAAGTACAGAGCAATGAAATGCACTCTCTGCATTTAATCCATCCCCTTGGGGAGCAGTGGGCTGCCAATGTGCAGCACCTGGGGAGCAGTGTGTGGTTAAGGGTCTTTGCTCAGGGATCCAGATTGGCAGTCTGTGGGATTTGGGCTCGAACTCAGAACCTCTGGATTCCAAGCGCAATGCCCTGACCACAAGGCTGCTACTCCCCTACTTTAGCTTTTTGTCTAGGGAAGAAAACTCAGAATGATGGGCTAACAGATGCAAACCCCAAAAAAGATAAAACAGGCTTAACAGAATGTATAAAGTTTGATGCTCTTGTTTTGAAATTTGTTTTCACTGTTTTTCTTTTTCCATAACTTGCCTTGTTTTCATTGTTTCATGTTTTTATTGCTTTTGTAATCATACCCTTTAGTAGAAACCCAAGTCAGCTTATTCAGCAGCATACTTTCCTCTGCTGATAATATTTTGGTTTTGAAGTAAATCAGAGGAACAATAAAGTAATTTGTAAAAAAAAAAAAAAAAAAAAGGTTGGTATAGCTGTTGTTTAAACACCATGAAAATCCTGTTTTTGATCCAGTTGGGGTTAACCTGTATTACATATCAGCCAGAATTTGAACTTTCTCAGAAAGTAACACTTTCATTGGAATAAATGTTTTTTGAATGACTGAAAGAGTATATTGGAAAACTTTTGAGGTTTTAAATATAAAAAACATTTTGAAACCCTAATTTAGCATAATACTGGTAATTAGCATGTATTTAGACTTTAAAAAGATGGGGCACAGTAGCATGAGACCAGATTACAAGAACGATAGGTAATGGAGTAAATCATGTGTATCATGTTGCCATGGCGATATAGTGAACACTCAGCAAGAAATGTTTCCTTTATGTTTATAAAATTTATGCAACAATGAAGTTGCTAAAGCATGTTGGTGTTCTTGTACTAATATGTTGTAACAACAAGCTAAACAGACATTGGTTGACTACCACTATCAGGGTACACCAGGTTTTATGAAGGCTACAGTTTAAAAGCATCTATGTAGACATTAGCAGATGTATCTGTGTTATTTGCGTTTATCAAACAAATTAACGCAACAGAGTTTTCAAGTTGGTGATTAGTTGGGTTAGAATACCTTTGGTAGAATTAGTTGCCTGTTTTTCCATTTTAAATGTCCTGGTACAAAATTTTGGGAGATAATTAAAGATTAGGGTGATGGCAAGAAGGCCTTCCAAGACTTGGACTAGTAATCAAATCACCAGTGAATACAGGCAAAGAGATTGTCAGCAATTGTAAGAAGGCTCTAATAATGGCAAAGCTTTTTCCATTTACTTTAAAAAGGGAAAAATATTTTTCAAAAGTATCCGTTTCATGAATATGTAATGTATTATCAATATAGACATATATTTTAGATTCACAGTGTCATTTTAACTCTTAATACCTCTTAAACATTTACCCCATTATTATACATTATTAACTTTTTCCCTTTTAAATAAATTATAGGATAAGAATTATATATATTGTGACCACATTCATTACCAGTGATGTTGCTGGATGGTTATTGAACATGGATGTGTAAATCTGATGTTTTGTGGCTACTTTGAACTGATAACTTTATTGATATTTTGTTTGGCTTTTGAATTTGCAGTGTTATTTTATTACAAATATCCCACTTTTAAACCATAGAGGGACAACCGTTTGAGTTCTCAAAGGAGTTTTGAGGTTTTAAAACTTTTAATGTGATGAGTCACTGGCCTGCACAGCAGCAAGGCCATAAAACATGGCAGCTTGTGTTTCATTGGGTTGATGTAGACCAATAAATGAAAGTTTTTAATTGAATACTTGGAAAAGTCAAACAGCACTCAAATGTGCTAAAGCTACCCCTACATTGGCACAGTTTCTCCCCCCTAATGCGTTTGCCTACCAAACCTAACATTATCAAAGTTTGCTAACAAAGGTAGAAGTCCTTCACTGCAAGACAGCTGACGCTGGCTGGGAGGTAATGAGCAGTGGTCGCAGTAAAATATTAATCAGTTCTGTTCTCATCTATGATTACAAAGCATGGATCATCTTTGTGGCTTCCTTGTGTCAAGACACAGTCGTAATTGCATATCACAATAGAGTAAGACGCTACCAACCTGGAAAATAAGATTAAATCATATATCTCCACGTTTTCATAGTCTGGCTACTTTATCATATATAATAAATTGGAAATGGGTTCCGATTAAGATCTTTGAGCTGATTAAAAAAGCATTTTGATAAAAGTAACCTCTAGGGCCCAATTTTCATTAAGCTTACAACATTAAAAATGTGTATTTATTTAAATGATCTATTATTCTATGCTTACATGTTATTTTCCCATGATCTGTAAGCAGATTATCACCAAACTTGAAAGGTATAAAAGCCATTCTGTATGCAGTTAACAAATGTATGGGACTTGTGCTTTTCTATATAAATTATTCTTTTTCTAAAAGGTGGGCAAAAAACAATCCCTTCCAAATATCCAGAAACATTCATTCTTCCATAAAGGGCAGAAAATAAACAGCGACATCTTGTGGAAGTTCTTTGGAAATACAAGCATGGAAATTTTTCCATTGCAGTAATGTTTTTCCGTTTGTTTTCTATTTATATCTTTTTGATTTGTTGAAACACCTTTTGTGATTGTTAAGCCTTTCACAAAGTCATATGTTGATGCTTGTTTGCTTTTTTGAAATCCCTTAAATAAATTTTGTCCTAATCCTAATAATAAGTCATTCATTACCTCATGTGTTTCAAGGGACATTGTGTAAAGGTCAAAGTTCAGTTAGAGGTTTTTGCTGTGAGACAGATCCCCAAGCTTTTAATGTTTAAGAGTCAAGCATTAATGACATCATATCCAATTAAGTCTTGTGTCCTTGCCCTATTTTATATTTGCCTTACAAATAGATGGTGCAGTAAGATGAGAATGATGCATTAAAATACACCAGCATTACTAAGAGATAGCAGAGACAGCATTTGAATTGCATGTAGTGTACAAGAGCAGTGAATGTTAAGGTTTGGACTTTACACTATTTGGGATAATGACTTGAAAAGTAACTTAACGCAATTTGGAGAAAAAACAAGAATGTCCGAATATTTGTTTCAGTTCCTATCCAAAAAATACCTTCACAATTTCTTGTATGAATTGCTAACATCTCTGTTGAATTAGCAAAGCATCTTAAAGGGAAAGTCAGAAAAGTGAAGAACTTAATATGTATTTGAAACTATGAGAGTTTAGCTTGAGAAAAATAAATGCTGAAGCTTTTAAAAAAATAACTAGACTGAGGTTATTTCCCCTTTAACACTTAAAATGTTCACTATCTTTGAACTTTACTCTCTCAAAGGCCCAGTCACAGAGTTGATGAAATCAACTCCCTACCTGTTAGACATGCCACTTGTGATTGGCTGGAAGAGCTGCACGCCCCCCCTCATCATCTCCTATCTGTTCTAGAGTCCACTTTTAATGTTGGATACTCTCTTACCTCAGCCAGTTTCAGCATTTGGTCGCAGTCCCAGCCAGGCAGCCAGCAGAATGTCGGATAAAGGAGCTTTCGATACCAATGTGGTGACCCTCACCAGGTTTGTTCTTGAAGAAGGGAGGAAGGCCCAAGGCACAGGAGAACTGACAACCCTGCTTAACTCCATCTGCACCGCCGTCAAAGCAATATCTTCTGCAGTCAGAAAGGCTGGGATTGCTAACCTGTGAGTAGAATTCAATATTCAATACTTTTGCAAATTGTGCATGCATTTCTCAAAAACTCCTACATGTTTGTGATTTTAAATTGCAGCTATCGGTCCGATTGCTCAATTTTAGTCAGCAGAAATGCATCTCTAAACCAAGAAAAGAAAATTAGAGACATAATATGAAAAGCATGTAAATCAGTTTACAGTTTGAACTTGGGCCTGGCCAAAGGTTATTGCTAAATATGCTCTTCACAACCCCAGAGTGCAGAGGATGAGAATGTAGGACATTTTTTAAACTGTATTTTCAGACTCACATTACATTAAAATGTGTTGAGGTATTGACTTAAAGGTTTAGCTTTTCCTCTTAAATGTTTCTCTTTTCTCCCTGTGAAGATATGGGATCGCTGGAAGCACTAATGTGACTGGAGACCAGGTGAAGAAGCTGGACATCCTGTCCAATGACCTGGTGATCAACATGATCAAGTCCTCTTTCACCTCCTGCGTCCTGGTCTCAGAGGAAGATGAGAAAGCCATTATAGTGGAGCCAGATAAGAGAGTATGCCTGCAGTTATGTTTTTATAGATGGTTGTAAAAGCATTCTCTATACAGTTCAAAGAATAACAGTTTTTATCTATTAAGGGGAAATACATTGTCTGCTTCGATCCACTGGATGGTTCTTCCAACATTGACTGTCTTGTCTCCATTGGGACAATTTTTGCCATCTACAGAAAGGTCAGTCTCTCATGTCCATTTCAAGCACATAATTGATCAGATCTAATTACTGTTGACCGAAAGATGCAGCTATGGACATTTAAAAAGACATTTAAAACATGCAAATCTAAGCCTACAGAAACTTTTACTCCTCAATAGGCTGTTTTATTGGTGTTGTGGCTCCCCCTACTGTTAAAGCAGAGTAAATACAGAGAAGTTCAGTTAATGCTTTTAAAATTATTTTCCTTGACAGCAAAAAACAAAACAAAACAAACAAACAAAAAAAAAAAAACAACTAAAATACCCTCAATATGCTCTTCATCCTGGAACTTTTTCACATTTTATCTACAAACCCAAACATTATTTAGGTTTATCAGTGTTTTACCTAATAGTCCAACACTAGGGGGGTGGAGGGATAATTCATTTCAATTCAATTCAAAATTTTTTTTATTAATTATAGACTGTTTATTGAATTCATTAAGTTATATTTTGTAAAACTGAAAAAACAAAAACAAAAAAAAAACTGGGGAATACATTTAGATTCTGGCACTTTTACTGGAAAACTACTTAATAAAATCCATAGGAACATGCAGATGATGTCCAAGATACATAAGAGGGGGAATACAAATACATGTAATAATTGTCAGATTTGAATATATAGAAAACTAAAACCATGTGTAAATGAATGAATGATTGGTTAAGTTAAAACCTATTATTGGAAAGGATGATCTGTCTTACATTGTTCTCTCATTCAATAATTCAGAAAGAAATGACAATTTATGCTGATTTTCAGCTTTTTCCAGCCACCTGTGCATTCAGTAACAGGTATTCACCTTATGATGGTCATTTTATTATCCCAGGGGAAGCTGTTTTTTTTCCCAGCTTGCTTGTCTGTATGTGTTCTTTTTGAAGTTGTTAATACATGTTGGAATGCACAGACTGTAAATAAGTACATCGCTTTTTGTTTGGATTTTTATGAGTTTGGGCTCAATATCACTCGCTGGAATTAGGGGTAACTGAAGCATGACTAAAGGCAATATTTACAACAGGAATTGACCTTAACATTGTCTAATTGTAAGCTTGAGTGTCTCCACATACACTGAGCTTCTGAAAGGTGTTTAAAAAATGAAGCAAAACCTTGAGTTGTGTTTTTAAGCTACAGAGTCTTATCATGTTGGTTTCTCCAACACCTCCATATAATTTCCTAACAACTCTCTTTATTGTCCACAGACAACAGAAGGGGAGCCTTGTGAGCAGGATGCTTTACAGTCTGGCAGAAACATCGTAGCGGCTGGTTACGCCCTGTACGGCAGTGCCACCATGATGGTCATCTCCACCGGTCAGGGAGTGAATGGCTTTATGCTCGACCCTGTAAGACTTAAGATTTTACTGAGATTGCTGCTGATTCTCTTCTCCCAGTATGGATAAAATGTTATTATACCAATGTGAAGTTTTATTTTGTGTTTGTATATGGTTCTTTAGGCAATTGGTGAGTTCATTCTGGTGGATCGAGATTTGAAGATCAAGAAGAAGGGTAAAATTTACAGTTTGAACGAAGGATATGCACAGCATTTCTATCCAGATGTGACAGAATACCTTCATAAGAAGAAACATCCAGAGGTAAGAACAGCAGTACTTTAATTCTGCACTAATATTTCATATTTATATGCAAAGTTAATTTTGGACTCTATAAATCTTATATTCAGGATGGTTCTGCACCATATGGCAGCAGATATATCGGTTCAATGGTGGCAGACGTTCATCGGACGCTGGTGTATGGAGGGATCTTCTTATATCCCGCTAATGTCAAGAGTCCGAAGGGCAAGGTGAGAGTGAAGTGCTTGTGAAAGAAAATTAAATTGCTCTTCCTCAGATAATTGGAGTTAAACTGATGAAGGATCCCAGCAAAACCATTAATCTTGTTTCTTTTTTTTTTAGTTGAGGCTGCTGTATGAATGCAACCCAATGGCTTTCATCATGGAGCAGGCAGGAGGCAAGGCCACTACTGGGTCACAGAACATTTTGGACATCCAGCCCACCAATATCCATCAGAGAGTCCCTGTAATTTTGGGATCCCCTGACGATGTTCAAGAGTACATTTCCATCTACAAGAAGCATAACAAATGAGGCAGGTCTTTGCTTTACAAGTACCCATATTACCATGGAGCAGACATCAACAAAATCCAGTAAATATTGGTTCTACTTCTTTTCACTTTCCCTCTCTTGTCTTTTCCAGGTTAAATCTGAAATTTGGAAACATACAAAACTGTCAAAACAGCCGTGATCCAAAGTTTATTCATCAGGACATCTGTTTTATCTTAAAAACTCTGTGCTGCACTGATAAAGTCATCAGAACCTCCAATCTAGTTATGTACTCTCCTTAAACTGCTGTTGCCTTGTGCTGTTCTCAGATAAATACCCAGTATTTTTTAAATAAAATATGAATGAAATGGTGCTCACATTTCTCTGAGTTATATTGTGTTGTTTGTTTTTATTGGTTCTAGGGTAAGTAATGACAAATTATTGATCCATGTATTTTACTAGAGAGATAAAGTACATGGAAGCTTAAATACAGTTCAGAAAACTGGTCATGAAGCAGGTAAGGTGGGAAAATGAAGCTACATTGCATCATAATTCTTCTCGGAATTCAGTTTTACCATCCATCGATTTTCTGTCACGCTTATCCCAAATGGATGCCTGGTGCCTATTTCCAGCTGTCTACGGGCAAGAGGCGGGGTACACCATGCACAGGTTGCCAGTCCATCCCAGGGCAACACAAAGACACACACGACAAACAACCATTCACATGCACACTCAAACCTAAATGGAATTTAGAGAGTACCTGGAGAGAACTCACGTCTGCTCAGAGAGAACATGCAAACTCCATGCAGAAAGACCTTAGGCCAGGAATCAAACCTGGAACCTTCTTGCTGCAAGGCAGCAGTGCTACCCACCGCACCACTGAGCAGCCCCTTAGTTTTACTCTGCATTACATTTTAATAACTGTATCATAAGCATTTAAAATGGAAGTCTTATCTATGCTTGCACTGATGTATTTCATAAATGTTAAATCCATGCATTTTAATGTTTTATGTGTAGTAAAACCTGGAGAGACTCTCACAGAGAAAAGTTGCAATTATAAAATATTAAATTTATTTATACAAGTAACACAATCATATTCTTCAAAAAAGTGCTATCAAATTAAAAAAGCTGATTGCGAGGTATCATTGACTCTATGCAATCCCTCGCACTGAGCATGCATGTAGCGACAATGGAGAGGAAAACTCCAATTTAACAAGAAAAAACATCCAGCAGGAGGTGGGTGAAAATTCGCTTGCATGCGGGAGAGAGAAGCTAGGCCACAAACTAAATGAAGGAGATCTTGAAAGAAGATTGGCTTCGGAGAAGGTGCAGCCCCAAGTTGATTGGCTGGAACTCAACGAGGGACATCACAGGTCCCAATTTCCAAAGGTTGTTTATTTTTTTACAGGGAAAAGATGAACAAATAATTTCTGTTTCAAAAGAAAAACAATCATCCTACTAAGATTAGTTCAATTCATTTTTATTTATATAGCATCATTTCACAAAATATGTAATCCCAAGGCACTTTACAGAATTAATTCAGACAGATTTGATAAAAAGTTCCTCATCTTATCCCTTCTAGTTTAATTAAATCACTGGCTTCGCCCAGAAGAGCATGTAGCAACAGCAGACAGTCATTTGCGTTGTGTCAGCACCCCCCAATTCTGAGCATGCATACAGGGACAGAGAAGAGAACAACTCCTGTGCAAAAGGAAAAAAATTCCAGATTTGATTTGATTGGCAATATGATGCTTTCATTTTTTTTCAGAGCATATGGATCTATTTCTTCATTTTTGCTAATGGATCTACAATGGGAGAACTCTCTATCATTGTTTTAACAAGAATGTTTCCATGGTTTCCAAGGTTTTGTAAAAAAAAAAAAAAAAAAAAGAACTAAAAACTAGCAATGTTCTCTGATCCAGTGCCAATTATTCTATGAATTGTTGATACAAATAAAAAGAAACCCCTTAAATAAATTAATAATAAGTTAAATACTTTTCATAGGTGTTGACAGTGGGGTGACCAGTCCCACATTTTTCACTTCTGTCCACAAGCTAAAGCAATGTACCACATTTAACCGTGTCAAGTGCTGGAAAAAATAGTCTAATATATTTACAGGCACCCAGGTGATGACCAAGATGTGCTTTAAACTGAACAGGTAAAGGATTTTGTTACAAAATATGGAGGAAACTATGATTAAAGACGATGAAATACAGTCACAAGTCTTTTTATGGATAATAAAGAGTGTTTCTAAAAGTAACTGTTTCTTTCACAATTCATGATAGAGACAGAGCCTTAACTAACAGAGAGTGATTAGGTCAACATCATTAGAACAGGTTTTACTGAACATCAACTCTGGGACTGACGGTTTTTTTTTTTTTTTCCAAATTAATCACATTTTTCTTACTATAATTAGAAAAAGACTATTACATGTGTGATGGACCGAGCTGTAAGGACAGTCAGGCACAGGTGTATCTCCAAAAGCAGGGTTTTATTTTTTACTTAACCCAAAAAATGTAAAGTTTAACAATACAAAAATGGATCCAGAAAAGAGGTCAAAGGAACTAAAACTAAGACTAACTCAAATAAACTGACCAAACTTATGAGACAAAGGGGAACTGAAATAGTGGCTGATCAGTCAACAAAAGAAACATCTATCTATCTATTTCTATCTATCTCTCCTGCAGTATTAAGTTCTTCGGCATCAGTGCCTCTGATCGCATTCTTTTGTCTCTAAATGTTGTCAACTTAGCCAGTTTCCTGTAGCTGTTGCAAGTCAGTAAAGCTGGCATTTTGAGTCATGATTCTAAAGTTCAGGGGTCTAATAACAGTCGTATTCACATCAAACAAGATGTGAAACTGTTGTAGTTTTAGTGCAAATGTGATCAGTAGAAAACAAATTTAACCAGAGAACGTTCCGTCAACATGCAAACATTGAATCATGCATTTCGGAGACAGGAGAAAATTGCAACACAGATGGTGAGGTGCAGAAATGAAGGTACATTGCATCCTGATTCCTCTTAGAATTAGATTAGACTCTACTGTATATGAACTTTTAATCGCTGTGTATTATGAATTGACCAAAACCATTTGAATTTGCTGTGTTGTTTGGGCTTGCACTGATGAGCCATACATAATTTGACCTTTCTTATACCTCATCCAAAATAATTAGGTTATTCTGAGCTATTTTCTATATTTATTCTGCCATAAGTTTATGCTGCTGGAGGACATAGGGACCACTTTTATCATTCTGATTCATTCTATCGCTGTTCTCCTATTCTGCAGTATTTGTTAATTTCCACCCATAACATTATGTTTTCTCAGCTGCATCTTGTAAAAGTAGCTTAAATGCATTCTGTTCCTCTTTGACTATGGCAAGACTTGTAGCTGCAAGCTCATCTAGGAGGGGTGTGTCCTGCAAGTCAATGACTTGATGCAATCTGATGGTTTTCCTTGTTAGAAACTTTAAACCACTCTCAATGTATTGTCCCTGTAAAGTCTCTTGTGTTGTGAACTGGCCCTTTAAAAATAAACTGAACTGAAATAAATTAAGGACCTGTAGAATAAATAAAAAGAGGCCTGTATACCAATTCAATCTCAAATCAAAGTCTGCATTGTATTAAAAATGTTTCTCAGCACATTCCTCTCACTTATGATCACAGGGTGAGTTTTACCAAAAACTAACACATAAATTATGATAAGGTCTGATGCAATCACACATATTGCAGTAAATATCTGAATATTGTTGTTAAACTAGAATTTCTCATTTCACTTTAATAAAGTTTCATTGTAGGCTATAGTATAGATAATCCCTATAACACAAATACACACTTGCTTAATTACTGGATTTTGCTCATGACGTCTTGGTAAAGCCTCTTAAATGTCTGGATGTTCTACTGAGATAAAGCATGCCTAATTGTTCCTCTTTTAATATGAAGTTTCCTCATTTTAACTAACTAATGTAAAATAATGTGCTTAGCCAGTCTTCAGACCGAACATCAGTACCAGATTTTTTTAAGCCATTGGTGAGATCTATTCCAGCATTTCGATTCCTCTCTCCCTGCCTTTTTGCCTGACTTAATCTGTCCGTTTCTGAGATTCTTGTTATTTAACTTTTTAAATTTTTTTTGTCTAAACATAAATAAAAGGCTACATTAAAAAACGTATTTTGAAAGATCTTAAGATGAGGAGTGCCAAATGTCTTGTGCAAAAAAACCCAAATTACATATGCAAGAAGTTGGTGCCTTCAAGGTGATCTGAAAAAATTGCACCTATGATGGATAAAAGCTTCAAAACTGGTTAGGTTTTGTCCTGTTTGTACGAGAAAACCGTCTGTGCTACATGCAGTTTGTGAAAGGCTGTAGGATAAATATCAAGGCGCTAAGTCATGGAGTTGGATGTAATAAGTATAATTATCAAAATAATATTACATATGATTTATACTTCACTTTAAATTTAAGTATCTCATAGATATATAAACAAAGGCTAAAAAACAATCAAAATGCGATGAAGGAAATAGGGGGCTTTGAATAAAGGGAAATTTATTTTTCCACTCATGTTCCACCCACCGTTTCGTTAAATGAGTAAGGCTACAAAAAAAGGCTGCATGGGAACTGAAAAGCAATAACGGAAACGTTTAAGAGTTGTTGGGGTGGAGAACTTTTGGCCCCTATCTAACAAACATCAGTCCAGGAAGCAGTCAGGCCTGGTTTCTCGACTCCTGTCAAACTGCCATAGACATTGCAGCTCCATTAAAGATCAGGCAGCAGAAAGCTAAATCAGAGCCTTGGTTGAATGAAACAACCAGGACTTCCAGACAGAATTGTCGAAGAGCTGAGCGAAAGTGGAAAAAGGACAAATTGCAAATATCTTTTCAATTACTGAGGGATTGTTGGCGTCATTACCAATCCACTGTGAAAGAGGCTAAAAGAAGATATTTTTCCGATATTGTTCTTTTAAAATGTGGTAAGCCTCATGTGTTGTTTAAAGTTATCAACTCTGCTCTGAATACACCACAGACTGAAATTGAGGCATCCCCTGCTGTGTGTGAGAATTTTCTTCACTACTTCATTGATAAAGTCACTTCTATCAGAGCACTTATTTCACCTCCCGCTTCTGATCCTTCGGTGTTTGTCCCCTGCTCTGCTGTGTTTGACATGTTTGAGCCTGTGACCCTGCCTTTTGTGCAGGAGATTGTGGGTCACTTGAAGCCTTCAGGGTCTCCAGACGATACTGTCCCGCCCCAATTTTTTTGGGAGGTTTTTCCCACTATCGGGTCATCGTGTCTCACAGTTATTAAAAGCAGTCTGTCCTCTGGAGTAGTCCCTGTAAATCTTAAACATGCAGTCGTGCAGCCTTTAATAAAAAA